GATCCATCTTTTGAACAACGTTCCAACCGCTTCCGGCTTTAGGGTCATCTAGATACACAATTTGTGTTGCCATGTTTGCCAAAATATAAGGGTCGTCATCATACCAAGTTCTGTTCATGTTCACAGATAGTAAGCCATGATCGATTTTAACACTTCCCGGCCTATTTGGGTTGGTGTCAAACCATCGACACTTAAACATGATCACTTGGTATCGATCTTTGTAAAGCAATTGCACGACAGTTGTGAGTTTGCCATAGAAATCAATGTCCGTACTTTCGCCTCCACCTGGGACATGGACACCGCTGTTTTGCGTACACAACTTGTCATCTCGTGCTTCGGCCAAAAATTTGACACCGTTGACATTACAACCCGAGAACAATTCAGCGCGAATCGGGCCAAACGCCAAGTTATATAACTCATCACTGTAAGTTGGGGAATTCGATGATTTCAACTTATTCACCTAATATTATACAAAACCATTCATATGTTAGTCGGACAAAATTTATTAAAAAAATTTATATTTCTCAAATAACAAACACTGATAACTTACAGAATCCAAAAACCATTGTGGAAACAATTCACGGTGTTTTTGGGCAACCAAATGTGATGGATGTTCTCGCTTCATCATCTCTTCATGCTCATATAAGTATCCCATGATCTCATCACAATTGTTCAGTACGAACCAATGCGCTACCTCCATGTCATTTCTAGAAAACGACTCTCCGCGTCCAGGATCTCCGAAGGGTCGTGCGCTTTGGGCAAAAACAGAAAGTTTTTCATTTCTCATACCTCCATCATGATTGCGCTGAGGACGATTGAAAACCGTCTCCACATCTTTTAAATACATTCCGCAGAAAGTAAGCGACTCATATTGAACCCAAGCCTCTACGATTGATCCTTCGGGCTTCGCCCTGTTGCGTACACTTTTTTTCAGCTCTCCGAGAAGCCTGCCAAAATAAAACGATATGATTGAAATTAGCAAGCATGTGATAATGATGCATACACAAATGATAAGGATTATATACCTTTCTATTGGATACATCCAGCGATAGTTGACAGGACCAGCAAGTAATGCCTCTTCTGGCAAGTGAACCATCACGTGCATCATACTTGTGAAGAAAGCTGGAGGAAATATCATCTCAAACTTGCATAGGACTTGGACAATGTCATGGCGCAACTGAAACATGTCCGTTTTTCGCAAAGTTTTCGCCGTCAGTTGGGAAAAAAATCTGGACAACAAAATGATTGGCTTCACTACATCTTCCGGCAATAGGTGTCGAATACCAACAGGAAGTAGGCGTTGCATAAACACATGACAGTCATGGCTTTTAAGTCCAGTAAATTTACCCCCGTCAACATTCACACAACGTGCGATATTAGAAGCATACCCATCGGGAAACTTTACTGACGATACAAACTTTAGAAACTCTTTCTTGTCATTCGGTTTCATAGAAAAGAATGCAAGATCCCTTCTAGCTTTATCATTGTCCCTATTCATCCATAAACCCCTTCGTATGCCCATTCTTTCCAAATCAAGACGAGCTTTGATCGTGTCCTTTGTCTTCCCCTCGATATCTAGAATCGTGCCCACCAATGTGTCGAATACATTTTTCTCAACATGCATCACATCTAGATTGTGCCTCAATTTTAGTTTCGACCAATATGGGAGCTCAAAAAACATAGGTTTGTGCGTCCAGTTCATATGTGTAGAAGGTCTGATACGACTAACTGTTTTCCCGAAGGGAGCAAAATCCAACCGGTTCAGCTGGTCCAATATCTCATCACCGGACCATTCTCTGGGTCTAAGGCGACGCTCAGTGTTCCCGTCGAACTCTTTATCTTTTTCCCTCCACTCATGGTCCCATGGCAACCATCTCCGATGACCAAGGTAACAAACTTTTCCAGCATGCCAACCAGAAGTTACATCTTCCTTGCATACAGGACATGCCATATAACCTTTTGTGCTCCACCCAGAAACCATTGCATATGCTGGGAAATCATTCACAGTCCACATAACTGCTGCCCGCAAAGTGAACATCTTCCCAGTTGATTTATCGTACGTGCGAACACCGTTTGTCCACAAATCCTTTAGCTCATCAACCAGCGGCCTTAAGTAAACATCGATTGACCTCCCAGGATCCTCAGTTATCAAAACAGTCATCATCATGTATTCTTTTTTCATGCATTTCCAAGGCGGCAAATTATATGGGAATACGAAAATCGGCCAAGTGCTGTGGTGTTGGTTTAGAACCCCATACGGATTGAATCCGTCAGTGGCAAGTCCCAATCTAACATTTCGGGGATCAGCAGCAAACTCTGGGAACGTTCGATCGAACTCTTTCCATGCCTCCCCATCTGCAGGATGCCGCATCACATCATCGTCTACCCGTTTTTCCTGATGCCATCTCATGTCTGTGGCAGTATGCGTCGACATATACAATCGCTGCAACCTAGGTTTCAGGGGCAAATAACGCATGACTTTTTGTGGGATCTTAGTCGTCCTATTCTGAGATGTCATCTTGAACCTCGACTCATTGCATATAGGACATGTATCCAACGATTCATGCTCTTTGTAGAATAACATGCAATTGTTTTTGCAAGCATGGATTTTTTCATAACCCAATCCAAGACCATTCAACACCTTCTGCGCCTGTTTATGGTCTTTCGGCAAACAATTGTCCGTCGGAAGCATTCTCTTGAAAACCCCCAAAAAGTAATCGAAACACAGGTTCGACATACGATACTTTATTTTTCCGTGCATTAGCTCCACAATGGCCGTGAGAACGGAAAAGCTCTCGCACCCCGGGTATAACTCTTGGTTGGCATTTTTTAACAATTTCTCATATTGTTCAAACTCCGCACTGTCTATTGGTGTAGGCACATCATCTTGCTCTTCTTGATTCATGTTGGTCGATGCAAATGGAAAAACATCCTGTATAATATCCATGACTTCATCATTAGCATCCACAATAGGTTGAACATTGTCCACTCTTGTGGCATTTGAAGACGAAGCATGCTCTAATTGTTCCCCGTGAAGGTTCCAAATGCTATATGTCTCAATCATTCCATTTCTTACTAAATGAAATCCAACATTTTCAATTGTCTCCCATAACGTGTTGTTGCACCTCCTACAAGGACAACGGATTCTAGTTGCACCCGGGTTGTGTCTACGTGCAAACTCAATAAAACCCTCGATTCCATCCAAGTATTCGTCTGCGCATCTGTTAGGGTTTTGTATCCACCTTCTGTCCATAATTCCTGAAACCAGAATCACAACACAACAATCACAACAACTTCATACGAAGTTATAATGTCACCTTATGCCTCCGGTAAGGGTCCTATCCCATTCGGGAATGCATACTCCTGCCACGTAACCTACGACTACATGAGATTAGATTTCGACGTGGATGAATTTCGCCAGCATCTCGCTACAGTTCTTGAGGTGGCCATAGGTATAAATACCTATGTACCACCCGAAGAACGTACCGAGATGACAACGAAATATCCACAATCGAAACCTAATCCTGTAGCCATAGATTACGTGACAACACTATGCATTACCAAACTGTCCAAATAATGGGACAATTCAAGAATTAATTGGACCGCAGTCATGCATTACGCATCCATGCACGAAATCCAACTAATCTCGAACGGGAAACTAAGTGTTACTAAACATAAAAATAAAAGCACGAAGTTAATTTCAATTAACTTCGTACATCACAACAGATTGTACTACGTTACGCACAACATAATATAAATATAACTTCACAAGAACATTTTAAACATATATAAAACAAATAAAATACCTTCTCAATCGTTCTCCACCAATCGCTAATTACAAATATCCCTAACGAAAACAAATTAAAAAACCTTAGTACGAACTTAAATTAATACTTTTAAACTAATGACGAAAAATACTTACCCAATCAATGTATTGAAATCCTAGCAGCAGCAGAGAGGTTGAGAGAGAGGCAGAGGCAGAGGCAGAATGCTTTGTTTTTGCATTCTGCCTCTGCAATGGCAGAATTCTAATATGAAGAAGAAGGACTTTGCGCGACGAACATACTTATTCGTCGCGCAAAGTCCCGTCGCAAAAAACCAAATTATTCGTCGCGCAAACCCTTTTTTTCGTCGCGCAAACACCTGCCGACATCTAACTTTTGCGCGACGCTGGTAATTTTCGTCGCGCAAAACTTCGTCGCGCAACATTGTCGCGCAAAAACATAATTCCGTCGCGCAAAACAGGGTATTCGTCGCGTAAACGTTGAACTTTACGCGACGAAACGTCAGTACGTCGCGCAAAAAAAAATATCCCACCCAGGTCATTTTTGGCGCCAAAAAATAAAATATCTCTTGTTCTCTTACGCGACGAAACGTCTTTCCGTCGCGCTAAATCAGGGACTGTCCTATTTGCGCGACGGATAATTTGTTCGTCGCGCAATGTTGCCTTCAGCGACGATATTTCTCGTCGCGCAAATGTTTCGCGCTAAAAAAATTCCCCGCTCTTTTTTTAACTCAGTTTGCGCGACGAAAAATGTTTTTTGTCGCGCATATACATTTTGCGCGACGAAATAGTTTGGTGGCGCAAATTTTCAGTGCATTGCGCGACGAAAATGTATTTTCGTCGCGCAATTATTGTTTGCGCGACGAGTTGATCTTCGTCGCGCAATGTTTCGTCGCGCAAATAGTGAAACGTAGTAGTGTGGCTAAGCTTCGAAGGAGTTACTGGTGTCTCCATAATCGGAGGTGCCCTTGATGCTAAAGGTACCGCCTTATGGGCATGCAAGTTAGCTGGAAGCACCGATTGCCCCAAAGGAGGAGCCACGGTTAGTAATTTACGCTTTCTTGTCAATCAAGTGAAATCTTGTTTAAATTTGTTGTCTAACTTACCCTACCAGTCTCTTCGTGTTCTATTGTTCCAAAATTCTGATATTTTTGTTCCCACTGATACGCAGAGTTTGAGTTTTACAAACTCCAAAAACATTAACATCAATGGACTAATGTCATTGAACAGCCAGATGTTCCACATTGTGATAAACGGCTGCCAAGATGTTCGCATCCAAGGGGTCAAAGTCAATGCGGCAGGCAATAGCCCAAACACTGATGGCATCCATGTCCAATTGTCAAGAAATGTTGCAATTTTCAACACATCCATCAAAACTGGAGATGATTGTGTCTCGATTGGCCCCGGAACAAAGGACTTGTGGATCGAGCAAATAACTTGTGGTCCTGGCCATGGCATTAGGTAAGATTTTATAGCTCTTGCATTGCATTGCAGTGCTCCTATATGAAGTTTTATTATAGTTGGCTTATGCATACATGGGTGTGGTGAGCGCAGTATAGGGAGTTTGGCCAAAGACTTGGAAGAGGAAGGGGTCCAAAATGTGACAGTGAAAAATGCAATTTTCAAGGGTACTCAAAATGGTTTGAGGATTAAGTCTTGGGCGAGGCCGAGCAACGGGTTTGTTGAAGGTGTTCAATTCCTTGATGTCCTAATGTTTAATGTCCAAAATCCTATTGTAATAGACCAAAACTACTGCCCACACAACATCAACTGTCCCGCTCAGGTAATAAATTTATAATCGCAATGTAGTAATTGAGCATGTACTTATCATAAGGATATGTCTTGACGAAATGTCTCATGCACATTTCATCTTGTTTCAATATTATAGGTGTCAGGTGTGAAAATCAGTGATGTCGTGTACCGGAACATTCAAGGAACATCAGCTTCAGCAGTTGCAATAAAATTTGATTGTAGCGCAACAAACCCGTGCAGTGGGATAAGACTCGAAAACGTGAGTTTGACCTTCAGGAATCAAGAGGTTCAGTCACATTGTGCCAATGCAAATGGAAAGATTGTTGGCTCTGCTCAAGCAAATAGTTGTTTGTAATGCTGAGGCATGAAATACATGTACATATGCTCCATACACATAATGCTAGCGAGTATAGGTGCATTAATATTCTTTTTGTTGTATTTCTATTATAAACGCAGGAATGTTATGTACATAAATATCATTCTTTTTATACATTAGTAAGTTAATAAGAACTCAGTTATATTTTTCTGAAATGAATTCAATACATTGGAAATCACTTCAATTTTTCCCCTGGCTTTTTAATATGGAAGGTTTAATTTACTTAGATTAACTATTTGGTTTAAACTTGTCTGCAAAAGCTAGTAGACACTCCACAAAAATCGCCCATTTGAGTCATAAAACGAAAACAATAACCGAAAATCATTGTACAAGAAAACCAACCTCCTTTGTAATAGAATTAATGATATAGTCAGACCCTGATTCCAAGTTTCAAACAAACAATAGAGTTTGAGCCTGATTTCATATTCATTCTTTCTAGGAAGTATTTGTTTGCTTGCTTACATGGAATGGAAATTAAAACAATAGCTAAATTATTGCTTTCTAGTAAGTAGTTGGTTACAAATATTACATTTTGAGGGTTAGAAATTAAAACAAAAGGTTTTTTTTTAATAAGATTTCAAAAAACGCAAATTGTTGTTTTCCATCTATCTTTGGTTTACTTCTTATGAATCCCTGAACTCAAGCTTGAAAAGCTCCAGCAGCACAAATCAAACCATCCAAAATGTCACCCCATGGACACATGCAACTAAGAATCACATGAAGAGAAGCAACTTGGAATACAATTATATTACCTGAAGTGAAAGCTCTCTTGTGGGAATAATAAGTGCCTATAAAAGTCCTTTTGGAGCCAACTTTTTCTTCTTCCTCCCTCTTTTCTTCAAGCATCTTCATAGGCTATTATCCTTCCTCCAACAAGCATTGCAAAATGGGCAAACCAAAGGCTAGTTTCTTCCCAGACCCTGTTTCCACAGCACCAACAACATCCTGTCATATGAAACAATTATATAAACATCACACCGAATATAATGATGACCTGTCCAAAGCCTTACACAAAAACCTTAATCAACCATCCCTCGATGAGGAGCAGGCATACAAGCTTTATGGATTTGCGCAGCATAATATTCAACTTCACCAAACTAAGTTAACATTGTAAAACAGTTCTCTAATATCCACAATCATTAATACAGTTAATAAATATGATGTTGGCATTAACCTTGGATTCAAATTACCACCAATTCATCAACATATTGAGGGCCTATCCGCTGATGTGTTCATTTTTTTCGTTATATAATCACACAAACTCAGAGAATAATCTTAGCTCCATCATACAACCTCAGAGAGTGATAGATGAACTGTTCACTGCTCATGTATGACTGAATGGCAGCCCAGGCATAATAGTTTGGGCAACATACACATATACAAACTATTTGAAGCTTTCTAGCTCATCAGGTTATCAACAATGTCACACCAAAAAATACTAGTCACCTAATTAACTGTGAAAGAAAATTCTGCCATCAAACAAATAACATATGATTAACTGTACACAGTATGCATTGCTGGACAATACCAAGAAATAAGGGTAATTTGTCAGCATGAAAATGTAATTGAACAAAAATAAGAAAGCACTCCCAAACTTTTGACCCTCACTGATTCACTGGCTACTGATATTATGAAGTAGTTGCAGAGCAGTAATTGGAAAACATAACCTAAGAGCATTAGCAATACTATTTTGATGCCAATAGAAAAAGATTTCTCTTTACATATCTCCACTCATAGATCAATTAACCTCCAGAATAACTCTTTCCATTATCATAAGACTTCATTCAGACATTACAAATGGATTAAGAGTTTGGTTTCATCTGAGAAGCAAATGCATCTTCCATATCTTTTCTGTTGCAAAACCCTCGAATAGGAAACTTGCAGCTGTAGAAGGTAATTGGTTTAGGGCAATGAGAGTTGCAATGCACCATAAATGGCTTTTCTTTTCTATGTGCAGATACATTAGTGAATCTAATTTACCCTCATATTCACTTCTTAGCTCTCCTCTATTTACTTTAAAATTGTCCTTAAATCATCAACGTCAGAGCAGCAAGAATCTTGCAGTAAATCATCCCAGTTCATATTGAACTTCTCTTGGAACTTCAATCAACTCCTGCCCATTTTTTAAATGCCTCAACATATTTAAGTCGTTTTCTTTGAGCTTCAGTTCTGGCCTCTGATGCCTTTAAATTCCTATAAAGATTATTATGAAGTTTTACAAACTCACTCCTGTACAAACACTTGTCAGTGTACATACCATGTTCCTTCATAAAGTCAATGACCTCCATCACTCTCTCAAAGTAAACACCACGAAGAAAGTTCAGTAGTAAATACTCATAGATATCTCTGCTTACCATCAAATTTCCACTCTCCATATTCCTCTTAATGTCCCCCCACAAGATCGTGATAGTACGAAACATTCCCATAGTAGAATACCCATATAACATATAGGTCAATGTTTGCTCAGTGGGTTGAATTTTCATCTCTTGCATTCTTCTGTACGTCTTCAAAGCATCATCCATCATTTTGGCCTTGCAGAAAAAGTTGATGGAAGAATTGAACTGGTAAACAACAGAAGGGATTTCCTTCTGCTCATCTCTCATTTCCTGAACCAGAGCATTTGCCAAATCTGAAGTCGAGCTTGAAACATTTGTACACGTGGCACTTATATCTAGTATTGGTTGACATTTGGAGACAACCATCTCATCAGATAAATTCGGAAGCAAACCAGCCTTTCTCATTTGTTTAAGCAAAGCTTTTGCTTCCTGAAACATATTTCCTCTGTAATAAGCTTCCAACAGTGACATAAAGGTAGTAAGGCCCATGGGAGCCACAGCTGCATCCATGTCATCCAAAAGGTCATGAGCAGTTTCTAGCCAACCTAAATGAATGCAAGTATCAATCACATCAGAACACAAATCAGATCCTCTTAATGAACATAACTCCTTTTGTATTTTAAGTAAAAGTTCTGAAAGCTTGCAAGTATCCCCGACCTTTTTGTATCCATTTATGAGCTTGGCCAAAGCCCTGTTACTAAGGACAAGTTTCCCATTCCAATAAAGAACAAGCTCTTGTTTACCCTCTATTTTGAGGACAGAATCGTTCTGCAGCAGCTCAGGCAAAATCTGCATATTCAACCCAGACTTGAGATTATGAGATCCAATTGGAACAAGATAAGACCTCTGTGAAATCTTTCTCTCTCTCTTTGAATAGAAAGAGACTCATGGTAGTCACACATTTGTAAGACAAGCTCAGTAGCCGCCTCAATGTCATTAAACTTGAAATGTAAACTCAACAAACTATCATAGAACTGCCGATAATGTCGCATCAACGGAGCTGAAACTTGATCAATGTGACTTTTAAATTTCTTTATCTCATCTCTCTGACCATTCAGCTCATGGATCTGGGCGATAATGATAATAGAGTGTGCATCAGCAACAACTCCTGTTTGAGGCATCATAATTCGTTGGCCTTTGAATGATAATTTAAACCTCACACAAGCATCAAGGACAAGGTTAAAAATCATTGTATCTGGTTGCATCAGCTTTGCATGGTCATTCTTGTTTACACTTGAGCATTGGAAACAATGACAAATCTGAACTAAGAAATTGGATGCAAGTAGTGTCCTAACCTCAGTCTTTACCATATGCAGTACAACCAAGTACAATACGTTCATGGTGGGCAAGTTGTGTTTGTCCAGTAGTATTCTAAGAATCATTGTAGCAGGTTTAGGCATTTGACTTCGCACTAAGGAGAGGGAGAGCTTTGCCAGGATATCAGACTGTAGTAAGTCTGATCGCTCTTTCAAAATTACCAAGACTATATCACATGCTTTTAGTAGCCAGTAAGGGTCAGACGAATAGCAAAGTTCAGTGATTAGCTTACGGATAACAAAATCCTCAGGAAACCCATGCAACCTTTTAAAATCAATAAAGGACTCCCATGCTTCATTCACTTGGTGTTCCTTCAAGGCTTTTTCCAGCCTTTTCAACACAACTGCATGAGAGGAACCTTCCCAGCATAGCCTTTCAGACTGAACGCTAGACAAAAATCTCGAGTAGATGAAATTTGATGCTGTTCATATCTTACACTTGATACCACAGGCTTTTCATATCTTATACTCAGAACTGATTCCCTGTCATAATTTGATATTAAGGCTGTCCTCCGAATAGCTGAAGCCACCAAAAAACACAAAGGATCCCTCTTGATGAAGCGGTTATGCATTAGAACCTCTTTGTCACTATTAGTGCCATAGATATACCATCATAACAATGAAAAAACACCGAGAAAAGATAATCACCATGACACACCACTACTAAACTTTGGCCTAGATGAAAAAACATGCACCAACAGCATACTCATTTATGTAAGCCATAAACAGTAACCAATATTTGCTAAGACAATTCCTTGAGGATCCAGCATGATCTCCTTATGCCCACATGCCCAACTAATAATATCTGCAAATAGAACCTGACTGAATCAAAAGGCACAAAGTAACACACACACACACACATGAGAAAATAATTTGAAATCAAAGCCAGCCAGGTAATCATATCACAATGACTACAATCAATAGCGAACTGGGTCTCACAAAACTGGTTTAAGTCATACATCGGCCCCGTCTGTTACATAGGACTGGCTTGGACAGGACTAACTATCTAGGATAGGCTTGGCTTGATGGGGGCGCTGGACTAAGGGGGACTAAGGGGCTGGATAGTCAAGCACTATCCCGTGTTTGGAACAATTCAGTACAGGACTATAATTCTAAAAAATGAAAATAATCATTTCAAACATTAATATATATATTTTTTGTTCTCAAATATGCATAATCAAAAATTACAAACTCAACTAAATATTACATCCATAAAAACTATATTTAGGCTTCAATGAGTATTACAGCCAGTTTTTCAATTAAAACTTTATAAATATTATAAAGTTACCTCACTAGACACTAATTCATGTCTAGTAAAGCCTCACTACATACATCAAACTAATGTAAATTACACACAAGGAAAAAAATAAAGCAAACTGAAAATGTAAAATAAAAAGTACATGTAACATAGGCAGAGCTCTTTGAAAGGGAAATATAAGTTTGGAATTGACCCACATAATATAGATTATCACTAAGCCGAACTAAATTAGTACACCAAAACTAAGAAAAAAAGAAAAGCAGAAACCAGCCAGCAGATTTTGAAATTAACACTACAAGCAGTCTTGGCCAAAAAACCAATCTAGACAAAGAAAAGGGTACCTCAGATTTTGGCTGCTGCTCCTCTTCAGAGAGAGAAAAAAAAACACAAATTGGAAAACATTAAAAAGCAAAATCAGTGAAACAGAGAAACAAAGAGAAGTGGTTTTCGAGTGTTGGCTTACCATCGCACTTGGAGTTGAAGAAGAGTACCGGAAGCTGTTCAAAGCTTGTGTTTTTCTTCTTTTCCCTCTCCTCCGAAAGATTTCCCAAATAATTCTAACTGGTTTTTTGTTTTGTGATACAACAAAGAGAGAATGAACCCAAGTTCTTAAGCTCCTGACATGGTGCCCACTGCACACAAAAATGTCATTTCCATTAGTGAGAATGTTAAGATAAAACAGGTCTTAAAAACCAAAACACTCTCTGGTCCAAGGATGCACACATATTTTGATGAATGTAAAAGGACAAGAATTCACAACCCCCCCCGGCGTCTATAAGTAAAAGCTTTTTGCTTGAATTAGAACTAGAATTTAAAAAACCAATGGCACATCAGCCCAGAATCAATTTTCTGTCAACAAAATCTACAAATTTCAATGCTTCAAACGAGGAAACATCTAAACATTATATAAAAAATAGAAAGTAACCTTGTTAACCATATGTACAGGGCAACTTCATGTCATAGAAAGTGATGTTTAGATGTTTCATGTCAACATTTTACAGGGCAACTTTCTATGACATGCTGATGAAGTTGACACTACATCTTCTAATTGCATGCCTTTTCATGTCAACTTCATCAGCATGTCATAGAAAGTGACAGGGCGAAAAACGCCAAGCACAAAACCAACAGTAATAATTCAAGACTCTACCAAGACAGATATTTTATCGGGAAGTTAGAGGCATTGCATAGACCAATCTCATGGCCGTTCTTCTTAATACAGCATCCAACAACAAGTGTTACAAAACTCAACACCAAATTAATACAAAACTGGAAAAGTATAAAGACCACTCAACATTCCAAAGATATCATCTATCAATATTTTAAAAATAATCATAAGAATTATTCTGCTTAATGTTAGTACACAATCAAAAACAGAAAACCTGTGAATGAAACAAGCACACTTAATTTTAGTAGCTAAAAAACAAGCTATTTCCCCCAAAATATAAAACAAAAAAGTTTAAAAAATGTAAGGAGCTATGTGTTTAACCTCCGAATGTAGCAGCCTTAAATTAGCTCCAAAAAGAATAAGTTTTCACGAGCAAATAAGGTTGCGAGGTGTGCTTATTTTCATTCATATTGTGCTGAATAACTACTCATTCGTATGGAACACAATTTATTCTGGTTATGCTATCTTTAAATATGTTCTTATCATTTCGTAAGTTTTCTTTTTGGTTTTCAAGCTATTGTGTTTTTCGAGTTCTCTTCTCAGTAATGTTGTACAAATCTAGTCTTTATATATGTAGGTAGATAGGTACGCATGCATATATGTTGTAGCAGTTTAGGTGGGATCGTATGGAAATGAACCTCATGCAATGAACCCATTTGAGTGCCAAACAAACTGAGGACCTTGTTGTTTTGCTTAAATCCTTTTTTAATTACTTGTTTCTATTTTCTTTCATTTCAAACCCTTTTGATTGCTTGGATAATTATAGTAGTGAGGCTGTTATTTTGTGGTTCTCATAACTCATCCACAACTTTTGTATCTATGAAATCTGTAGGGAGTAATTTCAACTTACAACCAAGTGGGGTTAATTTGTTTAGCTTTAATTCCCATGTAATCTGTTAAGTTATTTGACTAGAAAGATATAATTGTATCAAACGAGAAATTAGGACCGTAGATAAGGTATAATGCGGATCCTAGTTAACAAAATGGCGGGCTGGGTCTTCTTGCAAGGTCGCAACATGAAACTAAATCAAGGAAGCGAACCCAAAATTCACAAAAACCAAACAAACACATGTATAGAAAAATCAAAGAAAATTTAAAACTTTGAACCCACAACAAAAAATACTCACAAAAATACATAGAAAATCCAATAAAATAGAAAAACTAATAAAATTACCTTCTTCAAGCAGCTATGGTCTGACTGAGGAAAGAGAGGAATTTGAAGGAGAACTGAGTTATGAAGATAGATGGGTGGTGAAATGGGTTTTCACAGTGGGGAGATGACTGGCGACGCTGGAGGGGCTGGGTGGCGAACAGAACAGACCTTTAAATCTTGGCTCTCAGACGATGGAAGTTTAAGGGGAATGAGTGCGAGAGAGGAGAGAGCTCAGTGAGCCGGGGTGAGATTTGAAAATGAACTTTTTGGAGGGGATAAAGGGTCATTTATATGGAGGGCAATTTAGTATTTTTCCTGTGTTTTTGGTATACGGTCGCCTGGGCCTGGTCATTGTGACCCCCTTTGTGAGGGGGCACCTCTTCTCCCGAAGTTATAGGGCTATTTTGCCGAGTTCCTTTTTCTCCTAAGGGTTGGCGCGGTCTAGTTCGGTTCAATTTTTACCTCACACTGGAATCAAAATCGGTATTATTCAACCTTTGCAGTTCGGTCTGATTTAGGTGAAAAAATTTATAAAACTAGCCGGTCCAATTTAAATCGGTATCGGTGTAGTTTCCAATTTTTCCAATATTTGCACCAAAAATTTTTTATATATTTTTCCAATTTTTTTTCTTTAAAATAAATTCCAACTAAAATTTTGTTTTTTGGGCTTAAAAATTCACAAATGATTCAATTTCATACAAAAAAAAATATGATTGGGCCTAAAAAAAAGGTGCTTTAAAGTTGGGCTTGGGAAGATATTAGTTCTAGGATTATAAATTTACAAAATTAGTTAAACACTCAATTCTAGACATTAAACTATAATAATACCCTAGGCTATTTAAAATATATAAACACACCCAAAATAAACCCAAAAACCAACAGCTGTCGATTTTTGGATTTATTTTCTATGTTAGATTACGATTTTGACCTTTTGGTCTGAATTCTTTGAAACAGGCCCAAAATTCGCTAGCTAGGATAGGAATTTCTGAAAATTTACGTTGGTGACCTCATAACAGAAACCTGTTTGGCAGCCTCGGCAGATCGAATATTCCAAATGAGCTTCGTTCAGTTCTTCGAACGAAGGGAGCTTCGTTCACCTCTTCGAACGAAGCTCAGTATGATGTAGTTTCAGATCTTCTTTTTGGATTCTTCTGAGCTTAGTATGGTGTAGATTGGAGTTCTATTGCTTCAATTTTTTTGTTCTTTGTTGTTTGATTTGGTAATTTTTGGATTGATATTGCGCTGCAAGAGACTCGATTGGAGCTTGGTGCGATCTGTGATCTTCGATTTTGAGGTATTCGATTTTTTCTTGTGAATTCATATTCGTTTTTTGAGGATTCGATTATATTGTAGTCTGATTTTTGGTGATTTCATGTTTGATTAATTAAGTTGCTGATTAGGTTTTCGTTTCTTTTTGTTTATAATTTGGATTGATTTCAGATTCGTTTTGATTGTGGATTTGCTCTTGTGTTTTGATTTGAGGTGTGGTGAAAATTTTGTGATATTCGATTTGGTTTTCATATTAATTGAGGTTTTTTCAGTTGAATCTGAGTATATTCGTGTTTTTTCTGTTTATGCACTATTGATTTTTGAGTCGACTATAATTCACTGTTAATACTCGGCATCCACTGTTATTGCTAGTAGTCATTTTTGTTTTGTTTGTTGTTTTTTTGTATAGATATGGATGATTCGAGAGTGGCAAAGTGCACCTATGGTGCTGGAACTTTAATGCTTATTTTGTCTTCAACTACTACTTTTGATTGGTTGTCCAACGAGTTGTGTAGTAGATTCAAGCTGAAGTTACGTCATTTTGAGTTGAGGTACTCTTTTACGGATTGCTCCAATTGTTTATTGGAATTGGATGATGATTTGAAAATCATGTTTATGGTATGTGGACTGACGAATGATCAATTAATTTACATTGCTGTTAGGGATAAGGTTGTAGTGAATTATGTTCAAACTGTTAATACGAACATAATTGCTTCTCCTTTTTTGTTGGAGGTTGTTCCTAACAATTACAGTTTTGCACAAGATGAGGATACATGTAAATATTCAAGTCAAACTGGTAGTATTGTTGATTCAAGTGCAGCTTCTTCTTCTTGTTTGAGTATGGATTTTGATAGTATTAGCAGTGAGTATGGAAATGAATATTTAGGCAAATATGGTAGTTGTGGAGGTCGTAAGCATTTGTCTACTGATTGGGAGGGTTATATTACTCATGAGGGTCAGAAGTTTGAGGGTGGAGTTTGTGAATTCCGTGATAAGTTGGCTAAGTACTCGATTGAGAATGGTTTTAAGATGAAATATTTGAAAAATGAGCCTCGTCGTGTTACTGCTGTGTGTGCTAAGAAGGAATCAAATGACTGTGAGTGGCATGTGCATGTTGTTAAGTCGAATGTAAATGGATTTTTTTATATTAAGAACTTAAATAATGCACACAGTTGCAGTGGTTTGATCCGTGAGAAGAGAAATAAGGCAATGGGGTCTCGTTTGGTGTCTTCAATTGTCAAAGACAAGGTTCGTAGCAATCCTTTGGTAAGGCCTATTGAGCTGATTACTGATTTGAAGGAGAATTATGGATTGGATATCCCTTATCATGTTGCGTGGTATGGGAAGGAGTCGGCTACTAAGGATTTGCATGGTGATGAGGAGTTGTCTTATGCTCACCTGCCTTGGTATGTGAATGTTTTGAAGGCCAGCAATGTCGGATCTCATTGTGTGCTTGACTGTGGCGAGGATGGTTCTTGTTTCCAGCGGATCTTTATATGTTTTAAGGCCTCCATTGATGTTTTTCGGTGGTGTAGGCCTATGCTGTTCATTGATGGTACTTTCGTCACAAACAAGTACAAGGGTACTCTTCTAAGAGCTACTGCAAAGAATGGAAATAAATGTATGTAATGTAAATGTTGTAGTTGTTGACTTCCATTGAGTGGTATGAACAGTATAGTTATGCAAATGTAAATGTTGTAGTTGTTGACTTCCATTGAGTGGCATGAACAGTGTAGTTATGCAAATGTAAATGCTGTAGTTGTTGACTTCCATTGAGTGGTATGAACAGTTTCTATACTGTTCATACCCTGCATCTGAGTATTTTTATGCATTGCAGTTTTACTCTGCTTCATGTGGTAACACTGTTATAGTTCAAACTAACTAATATAGTTCTCTGTTTCTTGTAGAAGTATACCTTTTTGCCTTTGCGATTGTATCCGGTGAAACTGTGGATAATTGGAGGTGGTTTCTCCAAAGGATATATGAAGTCTTGGTGGATGAAGGTAGGCAACTTACATTCATTTCTGATAGGCATGGTGCTATTATCGATGCTGTTAGGACTATTTTTCCTGTTTCTCCCCATGATTTTTGTCTATATCATTTGAAAGAGAACTTGAAAAAGAAGTATCCGCATGCTGTTGGTTCCTCTTTCAAGGATCATATTTTATGGCTTTTTTGTAAGTTGTTGTATCCACCGACTGTTGAAGAATATCAAGATACGTTGAAAAAAATTAAGAGATGATGGCGGTTCAAAAATAATTGATAAGTTTTTGGCTAATCTCCCTGTCCAAAATTTTGCTAATGCATTTTTTCCGGGAAAGAGGTATGGGGAGGTTAGTAATGTCTTGTTCGAGTCGTTTAATTCATGGGTTAAGGATGTGCGTATGCTTCCAATTTATGAGATGATTGACACTGTTAGGATCAAAATGATGGAGATGATTTCTAGAAGGAAGCTTGCATCCGAGAAATGGAGTAGTGTTTTGTGTCCTGTTATTGAGGATGAGTTGAAGAATTTAGCTGCAAAGGGTCGTCATTGGAGGATATGTCGCGCGAGTGAATCTATTTTGGAAGTTCATGCTGATTTGAGTGTTATGGTCAATTTGGACGAGAGGTTTTGCTCCTGTTATCAGTGGCAATTGCTTGGGTTTCCGTGTCAGCATGCGATTCAAGTTATCCAATATTCCGGGTTATGTTTGTACAACTTTGTGGATGAGTATTACAAGGCAGATTTTTATAGGGCTACTTATGCAACCCCTATATTTCCCATACCTGATATTGAGAAGCCTCCTCTTGGAGATGTTTTTCTTCTACCTCCTCATACAAGAAAGTCTCCGGGACGACCTCCGACAAAGCGCTTCAAGTCAAGCAATGAAACTAAAAGGCAGGTGAAGTGCAAGAGATGCTGTTCTTGTTATCGTCATAATAGAAGGACTTGCAAGGTTCCTATTTGATGTAAAGGTTCTGGAGAATAAAGACTTGAATGAGAGTAGTTAGTTTTTAACTAGTTAAAGTGCTATGTGATTGATTAATGACAATCATAGTTGAAAGGAATAGAAATTAATATGCAAGTTGTTAATACGGTGAAATAGCAGTCACTGCATATAAATACACTTTGAATTTTTAGTATTAATACATAATATTTACCATTTTGGTATTTTGCAAATCTCGATTTTGAGGTTTGATATGAATTAAGCATTACTGCTGTTTGAATAATCTATAAATGAACGAACACTATTTAATGCTCATTGTTCATGACATTGTTGAAATTGAAAGATAGTTCTATGACATGGTATTAACAATTTATTTCTATCAAATAGCATTAACATTGTATTGAGAGTGCGTTGTTATTTGTTGTAGTTCACCTTTTTAGTTGTTTTAGTGCTATGGAGACCATTATTTCAGGTTACATACACTGTTAATTCACGTAAATAAACTGGTTTTTGAATAAGTACATAACTTGAATTTGAAAATCACTTTACTTCAATATTCTAAACCTACACAAGTCCTAAGAAACTACAATATAAGCAAGAATTTTGGCAAAATATTTGATTACAACTTCATTCTTTTGCATTTCTCTCTTCTCTTTCTTTGATGGAAATCCAACTTCTTTCATTGCTCATAATTTTCATGAGGACTTCTTTTCTCATTTGCCAGACCTTTTTTTTGTTGAAATCTGATTCTATTTGTTGGTCTTTGGAAAGCTGCTTCATGAAGTGCATGACAAAGACGCCACAATCATAGCTGCATAATAGAGATACGCATGCAGGAGTTATTTCAGTATTTTTTTAGTTGAATAGGATGAAAGTTTCATTGTTATTGCTTAACTTACGAATTGTTTGCTTGTTGGGGACATTCTCTGTTCTCAGTCAGCTTGAAGTTAGTAGTATCATGACAAATCAGATACTTCATTGTCTGAGCATATTCTAGTGTAAGTTCGTTGCTGGCAAGTATTTTTGTTATCATTCTAGCTGAAGCTTCATTAAGCCCTCTCGGCTTCTTGGCATCAAAATCAGGAATTTGGACGAGTTTTGTTTTCAGTGAATATATTTGCTGTCTCAACCTGCATCATAGTCAAGTATGTGCTTAGTTTCCTTTAAATTTAGTGTCCTATGTATTAACAGTGTTAATCACCAGTTTTACTTATCAAAACAATTGCCTTCTTGTGATAATATTGGAGAGTTTGTTCTGATGTCCCCCTGAATGAGTTGAAGTGTGTCCATTTTGTTGCACCGGTGTCAAAGACAAGCAGCGTATGGTGCTTCTCATCTGTAATTGGTATGAACACTCTATCAACTCTTCTAATATTTTCTAGGAGTGGCATATAGAAAGCATGATATGTCAGCTTGTGTGAGGCACCTCGCAAAAACATCTGCAAAAGTCATGTGTTGGTGATTATTGAGCATGTTGATGATATAAAATTGATGTATTATATGTGATCTTACATAGTTATTGGCGGACAAATATGCATTTTTCTGTTTCTGAGGGTTCTGCTTCGCATCATCATTAAGTGCCTCTCCATAAGCATTGATGATTAGTGCAGAAATTGGACCATCTCCCATCAGCTTTTCAATGTTATGTTTGTACAATATTGTCTTATTGTGTAGGTAAAAAGCGTCCATGCGACAATAATGTTGTTTAAACATGATAATCTCATAACAATTTAATAACAAGACAATTCTATGACATAGTATTAACAGTGTAATTTTATGACAGTTCTACGGCATAGTATTAACAGTGTAATTCTGTGACAGATTGGCTTACTCATCAGAATCAGATGCAGATTTCCAGTAATTTTCCAACTTCTTTTTTGATATTTCATCCAGCCTGTTGTAGATCTCATACATGTATAACTGAAGGTATGTATCTTTGTTCTCCTTTTTTCTGTTGGCTGCTTCATCTTCGCTTTGGCTTGCTCCTTTTCGGCCTTTCTTATGTGCTTCGGGGTATATGTAATCTGGTTTCTTTGCAGGCTTTCTGTCTTTTCTGTTTTTGATTATTTTGATGCCAGAACGCAACTGCCATGTTCCTACTTCTTTTGCTTGCATGATAACAAACTTTTCAGGAGTTTTTTCATCGGCGTTCTCATCTTCATCATTAGGAGATTCTTGCATCTCCAATTCACTTTCTTCTGCTATTCTCTCATCTTTTTTCTCCTTATCAGCTTGTTCTTTCATCGGAATTTCTCCTTGTTCACCTTGTTTGAATTTTTTTTCCATCACATGTTGCAAAGAGGCAATAACAGTGTCTTTTTCTTTCATGCTCTCAATGCAGGACAACTTTTCCCCTTCAAGTAGTTCATGTTGTTCCTGTAGCTGTCTCCTATTTGATTTGAGTGCATGAAGTTCCCGTTGTAATTTTGCACCTTCTTTTTTCTCTTGCTCAAGCTGTTTTTTCAGTATTTCAATTTGTTGCTCAAACTCTTCTTTTTCAGTTCATATTTGTTGAATGAATGAATTTTTATTTATGCAGGATTCTATGGCAGTCTGCATCATATCCCTTCGAGTATCTGCCTTTTCAATCCAATAGTCGACTGCTTCTTTCAGCTGTTGGATTTTCTCATGGGTAGGGACTACTTCATGCTTGTAGTACTCTGGGATTGACCCCACTATGTCCACAAAAATGGCGTCGAAGTCCTCTTCCTGGCTGTCAAGTTCTGGGTTCTGTTGCTGGACATTAACAGTGTCCTCCTCCGTCATTGAGTCTGCACTAAGGTCAACTGCTTGTTCTTCAATTTCATCATCTGCTTCGCATTCCATTGATTGTGCTGGTGGTTCTTCAATTTCATCATCTGCTTTGCATCCCAATAATTGTGCATTGTCTTCATTTTGCTCCGATTGTTGAGTTTTTGTCTGGGTTGCACTTTGGTCCACATTTTCATGGAACTTGAAGTTCTGTTTCTGGGTAATAACTGTCACAAATATTATAAAGGAAAAAAAAAGTATTAGCAAATTTATATACATGTATATGTGTTTGTACACTATCAATTCAGTTTTGAAATATAAATGTTGGATCATTGTTAGTTATCTTACCCAATCTTTAAGTGTGATAATAAAGTCATCATCCTCTTCATTTTCTTCTTGTTCTTCATGGTCTGCATGATCAGTCTTTGTTGCTTCTTCTTTTTCATTGTCAGCAGCTTTTATCTGTTGAATTATTGGAGTCAGTAGTAATTATGGTGTACTAACATTATATATGTTTATGTAAGTAAGAAAAATGCCATAATATTTTCATATGTTGCAATATTCAGCTTGACATTGAGCTCCAGAAGGCTCCATTTGACAGCCGCTGGTTTGTGATATTCTCATCCAGGAATTGGACTGATCAGGTTAGTCCTTTCACACAGCCAATACCGCAAACATGTTTTTTAATATAAAGTGTTAATGCACATGAAAACAAATAATATAACAGGATTAACAAATGGATGTAGTTTCTTACCAGGATTAGCACAAGGCAACCACTGACACTTGGTTGATTTGTCTTGTCCTTTTTATTTTTTATGGCTTGGTCCAGTCCATAATGCATGTAATCTAAGACTCCTTGTGCCCAATTGTACCTGTTCATATGACAGGACCCGCCCCGAATTTCCCGGAACCCGAGACGAACCCTGCGGAGACCCCGGCATCACACCCACGCCGGGTTCACTCCTTAAAACTACGTCCTCTTTTACCAGAGAGGATTTAGGGCACTAGACTTTCTGCCAAAATTTCGACAGAGTCTCCCCTGTAAATTGAACATTCCCCAAAATTTCCACCTGCATAAAACACATTTTATAACCCAACTAGCAGCACGCACAATATAATCTCATGCAATTTACATCAATGGCCTCCAGCCTTCAAATGATTCTAGCAGAACTACTCACACTGCTTTTAAAATAACTCCATGCATCAAACATGCACATACCCAATTCCAAATCTATCTATGCACACCTTCGCTCACTCAGTCCACCGGACAAGCCTCAATTCAACCAAGTTTCGGGACCAACCACGAGGTCCGCATCATACTCGATAAAACCACCTAAGTGGTGTCTAGGTCGTGGCTGCACCTAGGCGCTATCCCAGGCTGCCTACGTACCCTACTAAGGGATCAAGCCACACGTAGCTCTTTCCTATCAATCCTTGCTCATAATATCAAATAAACCATTACATCCATACAAATTCATACATTCTAGGATTTCATCCATCTCAACACACCAAAACACAATCATCTCGCCCCTCATACGTCGGGACGCACCCAGCCACGTATGGGGTCTGTCAACACGCCGGCTAATCCAAAGACGCGTGCGACCTCACACTGGGGGCCTAGCTACATTCTCACCATCCCTCACACAATTACAGCAGCTATTCAAGGATATTCTTAGTGGAAGAAAGAGATTTCTCTTCTTCTGCTTGTTTGGATAGAGTTAATGGCTTGGCTGCCAACTTGGTTGTGGAGGATGAAGCATGGGAACCCGAGTAGTAGACGCGGGCCCAGTACCCACACCCTTTAGAGTGGCAGGTATGAAATTTCGGGGACGAAATTTTTATAAGGGGGTAGTTTGTAACACCCCGACTCCAAATTTATCTCATGTTTTAACTAATTCGAGTGAAATTAAGAATTTACCCGTGGGATAGGGGTATTTTAGTCATTTTCTTACCCGGAAGGAATTTAGGAATTCCGGATGTACCGTTGCGTAGAGCACGGCGAGATGGGTTCGTATATTGTAATCATCATCTTCCTCTCCCTACCATGACCCATTTCTGATTCTAATGAAAGATTTCTACTCAAACGTGTTCACATGAGATGAGACCCCAAAGCAATCTCTTTATCTCCACGGTAGGTTTACCAATCCATCTAGGTCTCATCCTTGGTTTTGCTCGTGGTATTCCCACCACACACGAGCCTTCTTGGTCAGACTCACAGCTCCTACATTCCCTTGTAACTTGTCCATCAACTTCCTCTGACAATTTCATCTCATCTCAGCAAATTCAATACTTTCAGCTCTTCCGTTTCCTTCCATAGGATATTGAGATACGACAATTTGGATAGACACGTTTCTAGGAACGTGACACCTTTAAGTGTAATCCCCAATATCCTAAATCCACCCACGTCAAAGAGTCCTCTGCGTCAAAATAAGGACGTCCTATGACGGAACCCATCATGCTCCCACAACTTAAGGATGCACACAAGGTGCGAGGTCCACAAGAAATTGAACCTAAGCTCTGATACCAAGCTGACAGGACCTGCCCCGAATTTCTCGGAACCCGAGACGAACCCTGTGGAGACCCCGGCATCACACCAACGCCGGGTTCACTCCTTAAAACTACGTCCTCTTTTACCAGAGAGGATTTAGGGCACTAGACTTTCTGCCAAAATTTCGACAGAGTCTTCCCTGTAAATTGAACATTCCCCAAAATTTCCACCTGCATAAAACACATTTTATAACCCAACTAGCAGCACGCACAATATAATCTCATGCAATTTACATAAATGGCCTCCAGCCTTCAAATGATTCTAGCAGAACTACTCACACTGCTTGTAAAATAACTCCATGCATCAAACATGCACATACCCAATTCCAAATCTATCTATGCACACCTTCGCTCACTCAGTCCATCGGACAAGCCTCAATTCAACCAAGTTTCGGGACCAACCACGAGGTCCGCATCATACTCGATAAAACCACCTAAGTGGTGTCTAGGTCGTGGCTGCACCTAGGCGCTATCCCAGGCTGCCTACGTACCCTACTAAGGGATCAAGCCACACGTAGCTCTTTCCTATCAATCCTGGCTCCTAATATCAAATAAACCATTACATCCATACAAATTCATACATTCTAGGATTTCATCCATCTCAACACACCAAAACTCAATCATCTCGCCCCTTATACGTCGGGACGCACCCAGCCACGTATGGGGTCTGTCAACACGCCGGCTAATCCAAAGACGCGTGCGACCTCACACTGGGGGCCTGGCTACATTCTCACCATCCCTCACACAATCATATCTCCCCTCATACGTCGGGACGCACCCGGCCACGTATGGGGTCTGTCAACACGCCGGCTAATCCAAAGACGCGTGCGACCTCACTGAGGGCCTGGCTACATTCTCACCATCCCTCACACAATCATATCTCCCCTCATACGTCGGGACGCACCCGGCCACGTATGGGGTCTGTCAACACGCCGGCTAATCCAAAGACGCGTGCGACCTCACTGGGGGCCTGGCTACATTCTCACCATCCCTCACACAATCACATCTCCCCTCATACGTCGGGACGCACCCGGCCACGTATGGGGTCTGTCAACACGCCGGCTAATCCAAAGACGCGTGCGACCTCACTGGGGGCCTGGCTACATTCTCACCAGCCCTCACACAATCACATCCCCCCTCATACGTCGGGACGCACCCGGCCACGTATGGGGTCTGTCAACACGCCGGCTAATCCAAAGACGCGTGCGACCTCACTGGGGGCCTGGCTACATTCTCACCAGCCCTCACACAATCATATCTCCCCTCATACGTCGGGACGCACCCGGCCACGTATGGGGTCTGTCAACACGCCGGCTAATCCAAAGACGCGTGCGACCTCACACTGGGCCTGGCTACATTCTCACCAGCCCTCATACAATCATATCTCCCCTCATACGTCGGGACGCACCCGGCCACGTATGGGGTCTGTCAACACGCCGGCTAATCCAAAGACGCGTGCGACCTCACTGGGGGCCTGGCTACATTCTCACCAGCCCTCACACAATCACATCTCCCCTCATACGTCGGGACGCACCCGGCCACGTATGGGGTCCGTCAACACGCCGGCAAATCCAAAGACGCGTGCGACCTCACTGGGCCTGGCTACATTCTCACCATCCCTCACACAATCACATCCCCCCTCATACGTCGGGACGCACCCGGCCACGTATGGGGTCTGTCAACACGCCGGCTAATCCAAAGACGCGTGCGACCTCACTGGGGGCCTGGCTACATTCTCACCATCCCTCATACAATCACATCTCCCCTCATATGTCGGGACGCACCCGGCCACGTATGGGGTCTGTCAACACGCTGGCTAATCCAAAGACGCGTGCGACCTCACACTGGGCCTGGCTACATTCTCACCAGCCCTCATACAATCATATCTCCCCTCATACGTCGGGACGCACCCGGCCACGTATGGGGTCTGTCAACACGCAGGCTAATCCAAAGATGCGTGCGACCTCACTGGGGGCCTGGCTACATTCTCACCATCCCTCATACAATCATATCTCCCCTCATACGTCGGGACGCACCCGGCCACGTATGGGGTCTGTCAACATAATCACAATATGGGGGGGTACGTGGGGTAGTGCGTATAGCACTGTAAACTAACATTCAATCTCCTTATATATCATTATACATCCACACAATTAATTAAATATATCATATAATTTCTAATCATACAATAACATCAACCAATAAAACATTCCATAAACTCCCACATTTAAATTCACCAATTTATATCCTAAACCCACAATATCCATTTAACTCAACAACGCTCAAGACCTGTCACTAAGGTCATCCTAACCCCCAAATAAAGGTAAGACTATCTCGGAAGTCTCACGGTCAACCTAGGGTCAAACGGGCCTGCGGGGCCCACAACCTCCAAATTCCGGTCCGAAAGTTCCTAGAGGTTCTACAGGCTCTAGGACACATGTCCTGCAAATTTGGTCCAGATCGGACGGTCGGATCGCTCACGATCACACGATCGGACGGTTACTAAAACCCTAACCCCAGGGTTGGCATTTCCGGAGTATCCGGGACTCCGTTTTACGATCTGTCGAATCTACATGATCCTGGTAATACTTAGATCAACATATTATAACTTCAGGACCATCCAACGGTCTAAACCTAGCGAACCCGGAAAATACGCGATATGCGATATCTGTTCGGGACTCTAACGATATCCAAATTGAGATCCGAGCACACCTACGTGCTCATGACAACCTGAGGATCTCATTGGGACAAAAATGCCCCTGAGCTACAGCGCCCACGCGCCGCCACACGCGCCGGCAGCGCGTGGGTGTCCAAAGCGATATCGCATCGCCGGAAAACTTCCAAATCAAGAGCCAAGACTCCTATCCTAGGTAATATACCTAATTTGGAGTCACTTTTGTTCTTGGACGTACCCCAAAAACTGACCGGAAGTGGCCGGAATCTCATCCCGAAATCCAGCCGAAACCCAATTCGTAAATCGAGTTGTCTACGCTACAAATTGATCAATTCCTACCCAACAGGCAGCTAGAGCTCGGAAAATAGGTGAGAAACCATGCCTCACTTGCCGGAATCGGTGGCAGGACGACGGAGAACGAAGCCGGCGAAGTTTCTGTCAAAACCAGAGCTTTTCTCCTCGTTTTCCGGGGAAATCACGGCGGGTGGCGGCGGGACCTGGCCGGGGTAGGAAAAGGACGGCGGCCCGATCATTTTGGTACCGGCCCCGTCAACTTTGGTGGCCGGATGAGCGAACGGCCGGCCAAAACGTGGCCGGCTGTGGTGGCGGTCGCGAACGAGAGGAGAGAGAGAGGGACGCGCGGGAGAGAGAGAGTCAGGGAGAGAGAGAGTGTGAGAGAGACGGGGGCAGTTCCGTCTTTTTAACCAAAAACCTCTTTCAAAATATTTACGATTTTGCCACTGGTGATGTTTTGCCCATAACTTCTTCGTTACAGCTCTGATTCGAGCTCACTACGTGTCTACGAACTCATCTCACCGTGCTCTACGCAACGGTACATCCGGAATTCCCAAATTCCTTCCGAGTAAGAAAATGACTAAAATACCCCTATCCCACGGGTAAATTCTTAATTTCACTCGAATTAATTAAAACATGAGATAAATTTGGAGTCGGGGTGTTACATCATAGCTTCTAATGTGTCGATCATAGTCAAAAAGGTCCAAGCCATTGTCACCCCAGAGTTGCAAAAGAGATTTGTGATGAAGAGCTCTAGGATTAACAACCTGACAACATCCATTGCATTCTTCTTTCTGTCATCTGCTATTGCTGTGTTCATACACCTATCAATCTCAGTTTTTGTGATTTTTTTTTACCTCTCGAAGTACTTCTTTTCGAAGGCCAAATTTGTTCTTGTTGAAGTTGTTGTGCTTGGCAACTTGTTTTCTTTGTTTGGCAATCCAAAGATGTCAGACACATCATTGCTTGAAATTTCATGCTCGTTGCCTTCACTGAATTTGAATTTTTTGGTTGCGGGGTTGTAGAGTCTGATTAGTTTAATTATTTGATAATTAGACTTCTGGCATTCTACCTTGGTTAACTAACCTTCCATGTAAGCCTTGATGATGCTCCAGAATGGCGGTTTTTGTAGGATCTTGAGGACATCCTTTCTTGCAGCAAGCTTGTCTTTTACTGTTTGCAATGTGTTGTCAAATGTGAGCATGTTGCTCTTGATCTACACATAATCTGGGTTATTGCGTCTGTTTGGTTGAGGTTTTTGTGTTTGGGATTGTGTTTTTTTTGTCTTCGTTGTTTTCTTTGGTTTCAGTGTGTTTGCAGATTTAGGTGTTGATAGTTTGGCTTTTGCTGTTGTTGGTGGTGTGCCTTGTGTGTTTCTTGATGCTGGCTTGTGATCCTTTTGTATGCTTTTTTTTTGAATTTCAACCCGGTTGCCTTTTTCCCATCACATGTTGCACTAGAAGAGCAAGATGCATAGAAGTCCCAGATTTTGATTAACAAAGGATGCTACATATTTGGTCTTCAAGTGCACTAGAAGAGCAAGATACATAGCATGCTATATATTTTGGTCTTCAAGTGCACTGCAAAGCAGTGCACTAGAAGAGAAAGACGCATAGCAGTCACAGATTTTGATTAACAAAGGATGCTATATATTTTGGTCTTCAAGTGCACTGCGCAGTGCACTAGAAGAGCAAAATGCATGGTATTAACAGTTGTGACATTGTATTAACAGTTCAAGTTCTATGACATAGTATGAACAGTTGTGAAACGTATACATTTGCAGTCAAAACATGCGTCTTTTCAAAACATTGCTTTTGGCCTTTGAAGTTAAGAGATTTTGTAATACCTGGGAGTCTGATAGTGATGCTTTGTCAGCCATTTGTGAAGAATCTTGAGTGTTTGTTTATGTCATTATTGGACATTTTCGTTGGTTACCTGTATTAAACATGGTACTCTTGCATTAGTTAGTAGAATCTTAAGACGAAAGTGGAAAGTGAGTGTGGGTTTTTGAGATTGTACCTTTCTGTCGATGTTTATGGAAGAAATTTTCTTCCTTTTTTCCTAGTTGTTCTTGTGCTCAATTGCTTTTTGTAGTGTCAATTTTGAAGACTTTTGGCTATGGCAGAATATAACTTCGATTCGCCGGCTTTCTCGTTATGGAGTTTGTCGTTGATTGGTAGTTATGGAGGTTGTCTCCTGCCTGGTGGTTATGGAGGTTTTCGCCTGCTTTTGGAGTGGGTCGCATCGCAAAGATCAGAGTGAGAGGTGAGTGGGTTTTTCGTTTTTTGGGTGCGTGCATGTACTCTGCGTTGAGATATTTTCTTTTTTTTCAATGGGCTTAGTGAAATTGGGCTTTATTGGCTTGTTGAGTTTTCTGGGCTCTTTTTTTTTGTTTGGGCTTTTTTTGTCAAATTAGACTGGGCCTTTTTTCTGTATTTTTCTATGGCTTGCTTGATTTGTTTTGGACTTTATTTCGTTTCTGACCTTGATTTTCCCAACTTGGGCTGGGCGTTTTGAAAGTCACTGTTAATACGCATTTTGAACACTGTTAATTCGCAGTTTGAAATATAGAAGAAGCTACAGAGTAACAATTTTTTACATTTGAATCTCACTACACAGTAACTATTTGACATTTGAAAGTTAAGAAGCATCAAAAGATTTGGTTAGAAGCTACATATTAACAATTTGACATTTGGAAGTTAGAAGCCGAACATTTACTATTTTATAGTTCTAAAATTTGTGAAATCCATGCTTTCATCCTTCATTTTCTTTTGTGAAATACCAACTTTTTTCACTTTCCATTGTCTTCAATAAAACTTCTTTTCTCATTTCCCACACATGCTCTGTACTCAAGCTTTCTTCAATTTGTTTTCCTTATGACAACTTCTGCATGTAGTACATGACAAATACTCCACAATCGTTTCTGCAAATTCACACACACACACACATATATATATGCAACATTTAGTGAATCATAGTTTAATTTGAATTGGGGGAAGAAAAGTGTTATTGTGAAACTTACGACTTTTCAAGTTGTTAGGCGCATTCCCTGTCCTCCTTAAAGTTGAATTTGGTGGGATCATGTTTCATCAGATATTATATTGTTTGAGCAATTGCTGGTGTAACTTTCAAGTTTCGAAGAAGTTTTGCAATCTCGTCAGTCAATTCTTCATTGTAGACGGTCTTCTTGAACTCAAGAAGTGGGAAGCTGTTTTTTTCTAAAATTGTTGGAGCACATTCCTTGACACTATTGAGGAAAACATTTGTTGCGTCTACTTGTATTGTAGGCAAGTATGTTGTTAGCTTCACTGATTAACTGTTTTGTTCATGCCTTGTATTAACAGTTCATAGTAGGAGTCTGTCTTACCAAAATTATTGTTTTTTTGTTGTAGTATTCAACGGTTTGCTCAGTTTCCTCCCTCAATAAGTTGTAGTGCGTCCATTGCAATGAATTGGTGTCGAAGATAAGCAAGGTGTGGTGTCCGTCATCCGTTATTGGTATGAACACCTTTGAAGTTTTCCTTATCCATTCAAGGAGTTTAACAAAATATTCATCGAATGTTCTTGGGTGCATTTTATCTGTGAGATACCTCTGCAAAATTAATAGTTTCGGCATTAGAGAGAATGTGAAAAGTATAGGAAGATGAATAATTTGTGATTTTTACTTGAAGTAATGGGATATCTATGATCTTATGTATGCGTAGCACGTGATGTATGCATTCTGTTGTCTTTTAGGGTCCTTCTTTTCATCATGATGAAGTATCTCGACATACGCATCTATGATTTGTACATAAATTTCAATATCTCTTAATAAGCTTTGTATGTCATCTTTGAACAAAATGTTTGTCCCTTGCCAAAAAGCAGTGCTGTAATAGTATTTGTAGTTAGAAAAAATGGCAATAAAATTGAAAGAACTGTTCAATAAAGTTCCAATATAGGGTAATAATACTGCTTGTTTCCTAAAAAACCTTTTTCTAACGCATGTCTACCATTGTAAAGTTCCAGTATAGTGTAATAACATTGCTTGTATCCTATGAAATTCTATATCTAATGCATGTCTATCACTGCAAAGTTCCAATATATGGTAATAACACTGCTAGATTCCTCTGAAATCCTATAACTAATGCATGTCTACCCCCTGTAAAGTTCAAGTATAAGGTAATAACACAATAAAATCCTATTTTTTAATGCATGTTCAATAATAACATCTTGCATTGAAAATGAATGAAACACATTGCCTTACCCATCAACTGAATTTTTCCAGTAATTTCTCAGCTTTTCTTGTGAGAGTTCATCCAGCATGTTGTAGACCTGATATGTATTCCATTGTAGGAATGAACCTTTGGCCCTCTTCTTTGATTTGGCTGGTTTTTTTTGTACCTTTCTCTTTTGTGCTCTTGTCTCTGCTTTAGGGAATGACGAATCTGGTTTTCTTGATTTTATCTTTTCTGCTTCACCTTCTTTCTTTTCTTCTTTATCCTATTCACTCTGCAGTTCTTGCGCTAATTTTTGATCTCTCAACGAGCCAATAACAGCTTCCTTTTCATTAATAATGTCCAAGTAGGAAATCTTCTCTGCAAGAAGTTGATCATTTTCTAGCTGCAGCTTTGTCATGTAGGATTTTTCCTGATGAACATCTAATTGTATGACTTTCTTGTGATCTGCTGCTTCCTTAACCATCTTCTGCAGTTGCTGCTGATGCTTCAATCATTCTTCTTTTTCATTGTACAGCATCTGAATCAATTTATTCTTTTTAATGCAAGATGTTATTGCATCACGGATCTTTTGATGCTCTCCTTTCTTTGTCCAATATTCAGCAGCATTATTGATCACCATCATATACTCTTTTGTAAGCTGTATTTCATCCTCCTTGTATTCTAGTACTGATTTAACAATTTCCTCAAACAACGTTGAATTCCGGAATTCTGGGATTTCATTTTAGAGGTCTTCTTGTACCTGGTGGTGTTGCTGGACTTGATGTTCAGCAGCATCATCATGGTCTCCATTCACTTCAGCATCCTCCTCCTCTTCATTTTCTTCTTCAGCAGCATCACCATGCTCTTCATTCACCTCTTCAGCAGCATCATCCTTGTCTTCACTCACTTCTTCAGCAGCATCATCATCATGTTCTTCATTCACTTCTTCAGCAGCATCAGCCTCCTCTTCATTCTCTTCTTCATAATCATCATCATTCTCTTCATTCTCTTCTTCAGAATCATCATCCGGCTCTTGAGCTTTAGTGCTTTTTATCTGTTTGTTGAGTAGAGTTAGTATTAAGAGTGCACTTCTATGACATGGTATTAAGAGTGTAATTCTATAACATGGTTTTAATAGTGTACTTCTATGAAATGGTATTCATAGTTTACCTCTGTGACATGGTATTCATAGTTTACTTCTATGACATGGTATTAACAAGTATGTACATGACATGGTATTAACAATGTTGTCATATCAGCTGCAAATTATTTGAAAGGAAAGATTACCTTAATCTGGTTGTTCTTTAGATGATGAAGCTTCGCGCTGAGTTCTTGAAGACTCCATTTGACAGCAACTGGTGTCATTTGTTCTCTTCCAAGAATTGGAGTGAGCAGGTTAGATCTTTGACACAGCCAATACTGCACAATATTTTTTTGAAATATCACGTGTCAATTCATATCATTAGAATAATGCTACGAATTTGCAGTTTGGAGATTTGTGTTCTTACCAGTATTAGGATTAGGCAGCCACTCACGCTTGGCTGCTTTTTTTTGTCCTTCTTGTTCTTCTTTGCTTGTTCTAATCCAAAATACATGTAGTCCAAAACTCCTCGAGCCCAATTATATTTCCCCATCTCTTCTAAGGTGTCTATTGTGGTTGTATATGTCCAAGCAAGTGTACAACCAGAGTTGCAGAAGAGATTGGTCATGAAGAGTTGTAGGATTATCAATCTTGTTACATCCATAGCACCCTCTTCTGTTTCATCTTCAAGTGCTAAATTCAAGCACTTATCAATTGAAGTCTTTGTTATCTTCTTATACCGCACGAAGTATTTCTCTACAAACTGCAATTTTGGCCTTGTTGAGGTTGTTGTGCTTGGTAACTTCTTGCCACTGTTTGGCAAGCCAAAAATTTCAGCCACATCTTTGCTTTTCATCTCACTGTCACCATCATTAAACTTGAACTTCTTTGTCTTTGTGTCATAAACTTGTATGAGTCTCACAATGTCGTAGTTAGACTTCATGCACTCTACCTTTGTTAACCTTCTCTGGATATATGCTTCTATTAATGCCCAAAAAGGTGTCTTTGATAGCAGTGTTAAGACATCGTGCCGACATTCAAGTCTCTGTCAGATGTTGTCAATTGTTGTTGCAAAAGAGAGCATGTTGCTCTTGATCTGCACATAATTTGGGTCCTCCCATCTACTTGGCTTCTTGTTTGTTGTTGTTTTGGATGATGACTGTTGGCCTTTTGTTTGGAGTTTCTTCTGGCTCTTTCTTTCTTCATCTTTAATTGGTATACCTGCATTAGAAATAGGAACACGACAGTAAAGTATCGGTGTTAATACCCCATACTGGAACTTGACAGTGGTAGACATGCACTAGAAATAGGATTTCATAGGGAATTAACAGTGTTATTATCCTATACTGGAACTTTACAGTGGCAGACATACATTAGAAATAGTATTTCATAGGGAACAATCAGTGTTATTACCATATACTGGAACTTTATAGCCATTGATCAACATGAAAGCAAACTAGCGGCTAAATTAGTGACTAGAGTAATGGTCCTATGCAGTCAGTCCTATAGTAAAATCCAATATAGTTTCAAGATTTTGTCTTTCATTCGAATCTAAAATACTGTTATTACCCTAGACTGGATCTTTATAGCAATAATCAATATTACAGTAAAGGTTTGGTTTGTAAATGTCTTACCTTTGAAGCGTTTTTTTGTTGAAATGGTTCTCTGAAATTTTGTCTTGGTTAGTGTCTGGTGTTTGTTTTTGAAACGAGATCAATCTTGGTGGTGGTTATGGAGTCTCGGTTTGGACGACAATGAAGACGAATTGATGTAGACGATTTGACTTGATGAAGACAATGAGTGAAGTGAAGTGACGTTTTGCAGAGAAGGTTTAATGAAGGCGTGCGTGCTGGAAGTTACGGTTTACTTTTTTTTTTTTGGACGAAAGTTACGGTTTGGGCTTGTTTATAAGTTTGGCCTGGGTTTGTTTTGGGTGTCTTTTGAGTTTGTTTGGTGTTGAGCTTGATAGTGGCAGACTTGTAATTTATAGGAACTTGAACACTAATTTGTTATATAATAAATGGATTTTGGGTGTGTTTATAAAGTATATTCTATGTGGGCTTTTTTTTATAAATTCAGGTCCCATTTTGGGTATATTAGTGAAATTCCCTTATAAATTTAGCATTCAACTTAAATAATTTTAAAATAAAAAAACACGCAGCTGGTCCGGTTTGATTTTGAAAATTGTAAACCGATCTGATTTGATGCCAATTTGTTGACTGTTTAGTCAACACGATTTTTTTCGAGTTTTTTCCATCTGATTTTTGGGTCTCAATGCCCACCCCTACTTTCTTTCTCTACAGCTCTCCCTTTGTCTCATCTCTATAGTTACAACATTTTTTTTTTTTTTTTTTTTTTTTTTTTTTTTTTATTTTTCCATTCGTGGTGTTCTTTTGTTTTGACAAAAGATTTCCTTAGGAACTGGTGGGGAGAAGGCTTCTTTGTTTGCAATGGACATATTCAAATTTTAAGTTCGCATCAATACTTGTAAATTCTTGTACGTTTTGATTATAACTTCTTTTCAGGAAGCTAGTGCAGCAATCTCAGGAGATGATGTTTATGGGAAACTTAAATTTGAGAGTGGGATTCATAGAATTCCTATATGCTTGTTCAACCATTACTTGTAGTTGCCTTTAGAAATTACTGACTCTTTCATTTTCGCAGCGTCAAATTTAACGCAACGGAACGTCAGATTTAGTCATTTTTAATCTTACCACCAATATACAACTTCAAATCAATCTTACTTCATGATGTTGGACACGTACTCATCAAAGTGATCATGTTTGGTGGGGGTCTATAAAGCATCAGTTTACCGTATGTTCTTTTGATGGATTGGCTCTTGTTTTGACACCTCCATTTCTCTCTCTCTCTCTCTCAATGCGATTGCGATTGGGTTAGAGTTCATAACAATTACTGTTCATATTTTGTTTCTACCAAAAATCGTATTTTTGCCTAAAATGGACAAAATATGGCTAGACATGCATTGCTGCAGTCAGATGGAGTGGGCCCAAAATTCAACTTCCAGCGCTCAAATCAAGTTTCATCCTTCACGAAATTGTTCATCTCTATGTCTACTGCAACATATCCAAATTTGGGATCATTTGGACAAATGTGAAATCCTAAGAGCTGAAAACACCAGATACACAGCGGCAGTAAAAAGCTTATGTAGCAGCAATTCGGGCCTAATTTCAATACTCTAATGATTGTCTTTCTTCATGAATTTTTTTTATTAGAATGTCTACTACAACATATCCGAATTTGGGATCATTTGGATAAATATGGGATCCTCGCAACATCAAATATCAGAAGCATACCAGCAACAACGAAAGCTAATAACAGTGGCAATTCGGGCCTAATTCTGGCCCAATTCAGGCTAGCTTCCAGTCCTCAAATGAACATTCGTTCTTCATGAAAGTTGTTCATTTGGATGTCTACTACAACATATCCGAATTTGGCATGATTTGCACAAGTATTGAATCTTTCGGGCATTAATCATGATTTCTGTTCGTGAGAGTAGTCTGTGACGACCAGTCAGGTGTTAAAACCAGATTTTCTATTGCTCAAAAGGAATTAAGTTCTTCATGAATGTTGTTCCTACTTATGTGGAGAACAACATAACCGAAATTGGCAGCAATTGAATCAACCTAGCATTCCCTGTTTATTATGCATCAAGGCATGTTCGGAGGAGAAACTCAATGGCTGCAAAACAAGTTTCACTTTATCAATGGAGGGACTTCATCAGAAGTGAGTTGATTCAAAGAAGAATAAAATAATGTTGTGGTAGATGGAAACAATTTAATATTCTATGTGATGAAGAATATCAAAATAAAGCCAAAACTTAACACGTGAAAAGTTTACACCAAGGTTGAAAGAAGAATAAAATAATATGCAAGTGGGCTTAAAAGAATGAATAAAGAAAGAAGTTGAGATGATGGTCATTTTCTATCCATTTCTTTTTTCTTTAGTTAGCTACTTTTGGTTGTCACTCACCAATCAATGACAACTGGACTAATACTTTGGATTTCTTTGAGTCTAATAGTGACAACTTCTGTCATTTCTCATCAAAGCCTCTTAGCAACTTTTTTGGGTTTACTTGTATTTTCAGCAACCCACTCACAGAAACCAATGGCAAGTGGGTACTTCAAATTGGATATTGGTCCCAACATTCAACTGACCTCCATTCTCTATAAATTGAAGGAGAAATCATCAACAAAGACACACACAACTCAACCAACAAAAACCAAACTCAACGTCCATAAACCCAACTCAAAAGCTTGAAACAGCCTTCCTTTTTCATTCTTTGAATTCCCAGTTGACAACTCCGGAGTAACTTTCTTTATTTTGCTATGCCAACTCTTAGTATAATTTTTTCTTCGAATAGAGAAATCTTCCATCTCCATTTTAATTTTATGTACCAAGTATGAATAGAGAAATCTTCAGGTTGTGTTGTTTATGTATTTCCTTTTTCTTTCAAGTTGTCTAAATAGAGAAATATTCCGATAAACTTCTGTCATTTTCATTACCGTTCAATTTCAACTTCTGTCAGTTACCATTTTCGCACTAGATGAATATTGAAGTCCACTTAATTGAGGCACGACTTCGTAATCGCAACAAACAAACTCCACGGCCAAACCCCATGTGAATGACCGGTGGGTCCTTTTCGGGGTAAACACATTTTTTTCCAAATTAAGGTTTAGGGTTTATGAAATTTGTCCTAATTTACACGAGTAGATAGATAACAATTAAACATGGCCTAGGTTATAGATTAATCTTATAGGCATATATTAAGGATTTAAAAGTGAAATTATCATAATTCCAAAAAAAAATATATGTTAAGAAATAAGATTGTTCATAAAATAAGGATAATATAGTAAATTAACAATTTTATATATTTAAGACATTTTAAATTAAAAAAAAACAAAATACTATAGTAGTCTTGTTTTCATGAGACACAACTAGATTCATTTTCTCTTTCTTAGTACTAAAATGAAATTAAAATTAAAAACAGAAGGAAAAGTTAATTTGACAGAAAATAATTGACTTCGATTATACAGAACCCACGCGAGACTTAAGGGAGACCTCCATTGAGAGAGAGAGAGAGAGAGAGATAGGACTCGTGAAATGATGGTGTGGACCGTGGTGGACTAAAGTAGAATGCTTTGAACATGAAAAAGCTTGCCCGTGAATCTCACCTACCGTGTCGTTTCATTTATTGTCTTTTTCTTTATTTGCTAGCTTTGAAAACCACGTGTTTTAATAACTTATTATTATTTTACCTACCATTTTAACTTGTGTTATTTAAGAGAGGGTATGAGAAATCAACAGCTAGCTTATAAATGTTTTACAGGGTGTCCTTTTTTTTAAATTTTTATTTACGGTATTTTTCTATCTAAACAAACATGGAGATAACATTATGAGGTGGTTTTTTTATTTATTTAATCATAGGGTTAGTTGGATTTTACCCCTTTGCAATGTCATACCTAATGTTATTCATTTGCTGCAATGGAAGACTTTCGTCACACAATCTGCAAATTATTTCATCGTATGATGATGCCGATGATGAATGAGGCCCAATCTCTGAGGCATGTGTGGCTGCTGGAGAGGATTGTGGTTGGAGTTGTGAGATATTGATGGCCAAGGTTGTTCCATTGATTTTAGAGGCTCTGGGTAGAAATTAAAATTTACGCCCTTTCTTGTTAAACATTTACTTCATTTTGAACAAAAATTAAAATAATAAGTTTTAAGCCTAAGTTCTAAGTTTGTTAGTTTATGTAAAAGAGGTCCGCTACATGAAAAATAAGGAAAAAGGCCCAATTTTTTAACACTAAAGCTCAAAAAGCATCAGTTGCATAAATAAATATTTTGCTACTATAACTCTTGGGCTAAAAAGTTTTACAGGAGGTCCAATTTTTTTAAGGTCCCTATGTTGTCGTCCAATCCACACACCCTGTGAGTCGGGCATGTTGATAGGGATTAGAAGATGCGGTGAGGGGGTGGTTCCGGTGTTGGGGCTGGCAGTGGCAGACTTAGAATTTTACTTCTATGGTGTGGAATCCCATTACAATAATTCATAAAAACAAAAATGTTATATTACTATAACTCACACATAAAAATAAAAAGTAAATAAACCTACAAATGGAACTTCTAAGAGAAAATAGAAAAAAATAATAATTATATGCACACATATATATACATAATTGAACGAAATCATACATATTACCAAAGTTACATATACAAAACATGAAATAATTATTTCTTTGTACATGTCTCACCGCTAAGTTCTTCGATTTGTGCTGAATTTTAAAAAGATGTATTCTCTTCTGACAAAAAAAACACAAAAACAAAAAAACAAATTTCGAATTCGTCTTTTACCTTATGAAGGCGATTGTCGTTTAGCGTATTGCTGGACGTGACAATAGGGTATTGGGTTTTCGCCACGTGAACGAAAGCTCAGTACAACAGTTACTAGTCCCGCTAATGTTGCAATCCGATTTGTGTTTCTCTTTCTTCTTCGTCGTATCAAAACAGTTCCTTGTACGGCGCATTTTAATTCTTAAAATGGATTGTCTGTTCATTGGATTTCGATTGAATTCAAATCCTACAAGTTTTCTCATATTTAATTATGGTCATATTTTCCTCGCTGGCTTTTTTTTGTCGCCTGGCTTCAATGATTATGATTTCTATAGGCTGTACCTGACGCATGCAATGATGCCAATCACAAGGCAAAGCAGCCAAAGCCAAGTGAGAATTATTAACCATCAATGATTTTTTGTGCTTTTCATGTGAACCCTGACGCGTAGAAAAACAAGAACCAGATAAATAAACCAAATTTCATCTCCTAAGTCATCTTCTGAGCCAAACTCAATCCCGAAAAAAAGAAGAAGCCATTTTTGAGTTTCTGGGCTCAAAGCAAATCATTAAAACATGGCTGAGGAGAGCAGAGAGGCGCTGCTGAAGAAGGTTTACTATGAGAACTGCCCTGGCTGTAAGGTTGAACAGCGTAAAGAGTTGCAAAGAGGGTTGCCCATTAAAATGCTTGTCGCTGTATGGCTTGTTGTTCTTTCAGCTGGTAAGCCCTTCTGTGATTTTATATAATATAATGTTGTTCTTGAGCAGAATCCAATTGGGTTGTCAGATTCTTGTTCATGGTGTTGTGTTTCACTTCCATTATTGTTCTTCTGCATGCTGTGGCATGTACGTATGATGAGGTTATAACTCATTGATTTGTGGGAGTTTCGATTACGAAAAGATGGATGCTCAGAAAGTTCACCACATTATTTGAAAGTAGTTTCAGTGTTTCATAGGAGAAACTAATCTTTAGAATTGATGTTTCTAGATTAAAAACTTGAAAAGATATCAGGAATATGTTGTGTTTGTGTGAGTTTTATGTGCCTGATGCATTCAGATTGCTGCCAAGAATATATCTGCGGTTTTACAATAAGTTACTGGAGAATTTGAAATTAAAGTTACTGGAGTATAGATTCAATACTTCATACAACACTTCCTGAATTTAATTGATTCAGGGCAATCAATTGTTCATATGTTACCATATAAGAGGGTAGCAAACTTGTATGCGGAATCGTGATCTGTTCTTATACTTTAATTGGTTTGTCATTTCTATGAATTATTTTTAATCTCCTCTGTAGAATAGTTGCTTTGTAAAATTGGTCTACTGTAGCACTGTCAGGTTTTTTATGATTTTGTACTTTGCTATGTCTTCTAATCTAATTCAAATGTTTTAACCCTGTTCTGTTGTTCTGTGGTAATTTTCAGCGCTGCCGATATCGTCTCTCTTTCCATTTCTTTACTTTATGGTGAGTGTGTACTTTCTCAAGAGTGTTGTTACTTTAGTTGTATTTCTAAAAAAATGTTCTGTAAGACAATAAAAAAATGTCTTCCCTTTGTTCACTTGCTGTCCTGCTTTCGCCCTTTGAATTCTACTTGATATTTCAAGATTCCAATAGAGAAGTTGGATTGACTATTCTTTGCAGATCAGGGATTTGCATATTGCTAAAAGAGAGGAAGACATTGGCTACTATGCGGGTTATGTAGGTGAGTCAGTTCTTACCTTTCTTAGAGATAAATTTAGTCATTCATCACATTTTAGTTTCTTGGCAAGTGTTCTTTACAAACTTCGTTATATTGTGAAGGGGCTTCATTTATGATTGGCAGAGTTTTGACATCAATTTTTTGGGGAGTGGTGGCTGATCGCTACGGTCGCAAACCTGTCATAATAATAGGGATTGCTGCAGTGTTAGTAACTTCTATTCTGAAATTGAGTTTCAGTTTCATACTTCGGCAATGAAGGTTTTCTGTTTGCTTCAACATATTTATAAATTATTTTGAATAATTATTGGCTCAGGGTTATTTTCAACACTCTATTTGGACTCAGTGTAAATTTTTGGATGGCCATTTCTACACGCTTTCTTCTTGGATGTTTGAATGGTTTACTTGGACCGATAAAGGTATCATATTGTTCCATATATGATTATTAACCATGTATGTCAAGTCAAGTTTACTTTACATGTATGATTTAACTGCATGACCAGGCATACGCAAGTGAAGCCTTTCGAGAAGAACACCAAGCTTTAGGCATGTCAACAGTAAGCTCACATTGTCCACTTGTCTTCTACAACTTCTTATAAGTTTACTACATCATTTTAGATTTATAATCTGTTTTCAGGTCAGTGTGGCCTGGGGTATCGGATTGATCATTGGCCCAGCTTTGGGAGGCTTCTTGGCCCAGGTAATTCTACTTCTTGTACTTCTATTCTAGGAACTACACTTTAGAGAATCTCTCGATGAATGTTTATTTGTCTTGCTAATTGTTTACTATGTCCTTTCGTGTGTACAAATTTTGGTTCACTTGTTTTGTACTAAACATATTCCATGATGAAATCCTTTCAAGAAGTTGTTTACTGTGGAAAGTATTATCCTACATCAGAAAAGGAAGCTTTGGATTAGTAGTTTAAAAGATCTTGAGCCTCTCCACTGATTGCCAATTGGTTTCGGGTTGGATGCTTACATTCTAACATGGTCACAATCAAAATTACGTATGTATAACAGATTCAATTCAACAGTAATAACATCTGCTGTATAGAAGAGTAAAAGAAAATTAGCAAAAATACATGTGCAGTCCAGAAATCACATCAGTTTCAGATTTTGAGAAAAGGATTCAGAAACATAAATGAATACAAATCACAACTGAACCTGTTTTAATTCCACCTATTAAAACAATGACTCAGGTAGCAGAACCATGGAATCTTGGATTTGATAAAGAGGATATGCTTTTAGAAGTTTGAGGCGTATTAACCAAAAATAGAATCATCACTCGTTACAAGCTTATACCACAGAACAAACAGAGTTATTTAACTTAAGAAGCGTAAAGAAGATGGAAACGAAACTTCTCCAAGAATCTCAGCACATTAGTGCTGGAAAACACTCTAAAATCCATGTAGCCTAATTTCTGTTTTGGTTTGTTTTCTGCTGACAGGACCTTGAGAAAGCAAAAACTTGAGAAATGAAACTCCCACCTCCTGAGAAGGTGTGAGATGGTACCTAAGAGCACGAAATGAGTGTAGAGGAGATAGCAAGCTTGAGGGCGTAACCAACACTTAGGAATTAATTTTAAAGCTTTTAGCAAGCATGAGGTGGACTAAGATCTGGAATTAATTCTAAGGACTGTCCATATAACTAACAAGAAACAAATAAAGTTCTTGAAATTGACACCTACTGGGATTTGAACAGTTATTCCCAGTTTGCATACTATTAGACTTAAGTTTAACCCACATTAGCAACAAGCAACATATTATGTTCTGAATTTAGTACAGGGGTTGGGGTTTTCGAAGGTTGGTTCTTGAAAGAGTAGGGAGTAGGTTAAATTAAAGAGTACAGATTAATGAAAATCATGAGGTAGCAGATGATTTAGTATTTTTTTTCTCACTGATCTCTCTCTCTCTCTCTCTCTCTCTCTCTCTCTCTCTCTCTCTCTCTCTCTCTCTCTTATATTCTTTTGTTTAATCAAATGTTTCTTTACAATGTTTTATGCAGCCAGCGGACAAGTATCCAAATATATTTTCCCAAAACTCCATATTTGGGAGGTAAGTTTGGCTAGTTGATTTAAGTATGCTGCAGTGAGATTGTCAAATTTCAGAATTTTTCTAATTATTTCTTTGTTGCACTATGATGTTCTAAAATCTGAAACTTTGATGTAGGTTTCCGTACTTCTTGCCTTGCCTATGTATATCGCTTTTTGCATTTGGAGTATGCATTGCTTCTTTCTGGCTTCCGGTACATATCTTAGTATATTCCTTTATGTTGTTGAGTCTCTTTTGAAATTTTAAATATTGACCTATATATTTTTTTTCTCATGGTTGTTTTTGTACCTTCTCAATCCTATTTTGTCATCACTTAACCTCCATGAAATTCAGAATGCAGGCCACCCTTACAGTCCTCCATTACATCTTAAGGCAGTTACAAAATGAACAATATTTGTAATCCAATATCCTTGGAAAGTAATTTATCATTATAATCATGTATCCTTGTAATCCTATATTTTATACTAGCTTTCTTAGCCTTAACTTTTTATTTTAATTTAACTTCTTGAGGCTCTCCCAAGAACAGAGAAACTAGGAATACTTAGGTCATCTTTAGCACATTCCTACGTTAAGGACCTTTCGATACTCCAAGTGTTGACAGAAAATTTCCATATCTGGTTGGTTGCAGGAAACTTTACACAAGCACAATGGAAATACTAGATTGCAAGATGATTCTTATGAAGCTCTAGAAACTGCATCCTATGGGTCTTTTGCAAATGAAGGAAAACAAAAAACTGAAGAACAGATACCTAAAGAAAACCTCTTCAAGAATTGGCCCTTAATGTCATCAATCATTGTTTATTGTGTTTACTCACTTCATGACATGGCTTATACAGAGGTAACTTCATACCTTTTACCTGTTGGAAAAGTATAGTATTGTTCACAGAATCGGTTTTTTTTCTCTGCTCTCTTTCTTTGAAATGGTTCTTCTCATTCGTTTTGGTAGATTAAAAGTGCTTGAATGGTTTAAGACATTTTGTACAATGCATTTCTTACTCCTTCACTTACTCATTTATTCTTCTTCCCCTGTCCCCGTTCTTATTGATCTCTAATTACCAAAGTTGCTATTAAGTGAGACTTTTTTCTTTTGCCCAAAAAATCAGATATTTTCATTATGGGCCGTGAGTCCTCGAAAGCTGGGGGGTTTGAGCTTTTCAACTGAGAATGTTGGTGAAATTCTTGCAATTTCAGGTAATATTTGATATTTCCATCTGCTTCTATTCTTTCCATCGTTTAAAGGACTCAATTTTTTTTAAACATAAAACAGGCATGTCAAGATACAAAGAAATAAAGATGAATGGCACCTAAGATTCTAGGTCCGAGCATCTTTTTGGCCATTTTAAATTTAGATGAGTAGAGTTATCACTTCATAGTTTTGGTTTCTGTCACTGGTATCAGGGGTGCAGCCCTCTTCTTTCTTATGCATACATATACGTGCACATATATAATACGTCCACATGTACTATACATGATACATTAAGTTCACTCAAGGATAGAGCATTTGATACAGTTTCAATTTCTGACACATGCTCAATAATCGCTGACGATTTTATCAACTTTTAGGTTTTGGTCTTTTTGTGTTCCAAATCACCCTATACCCATTTGTGGAAAGGCTTCTTGGTCCTGTAATGATTGCTCGCATTGGAGGGGTAATTTTTCAGCTCCTGCTCCATTTGCATTGTTGTAGCTTCTGCATTTTTTTTCATAAATGTCTTTCGACGTAATGCCTACTGACCTATACTGTTCTTTTTTTTTTTCTCATGATGCAGATATATCACAATACCTACCTGCTGTCAAGTTACCCATTTATAGCAATGTTATCGGGGTTCTCCCTCTACCTGATGTTAAATATTGCATCTGTGCTGAAGAATGTCTTATCTGTAAGTGCAGAAATGACTTTATATCTCATTTCAACTTACACACTTGCATGCATCCTAGCGTTACAAAGACTTGGTGAACTACTAGTCTACCATCATCTTGATACAGAATCTCATTAAAAAACAAAACCAAACTACAACTTTGTCATCTTAACTGAAGAAAGTAAAAAATAACTGTATCTACTCTACAGAAGCTCACCGATTTAGTAAAATAGGGGACCGATATGAATGTCCTGATTAAATTGCTAGTGGTGACCATGTCCTCATCTTGACAATTGACTGAATTATTTCTACAATTTTAAAAACAAGATATGCCACTTGCTTTAAGTAGACATAGGCATGGCTGATTCAAAGATCGCTTCTAAGAAACCATGTTATTTGAGAGTCAATGACAATGGCCAACTATGGGTCTACAAGGCTGAACAACCACATTAGCGAAAACGATTTTCGTGCAGCCTGCTTACTTGTGTGTGTAGTACGGTGCTCAAGAATCTTGTTTTCGTTTACTTTTAATGTTTTGTTACTAGATACTTAAGCATCTCAGGTTTTGTCCATTGTAAGGTGCTTCATATAGATAAAGGCTGTCTTTCTATGGTTTGTGCTCTAACTTTTGAAGTTTTTTTGTACAATCAGATCACAATTGTAACTGGAATGTTCATTCTCCAAAACAAAGCTGTGGTAATTTTATTCTCAAATTAACTACTTAAAATTTGTCCTCTTCTCTAAGTCATGATATTCTTGCTCTTCAACTAGAGAATGTGCCATAACTTGACCATGATTTAACAACAGGACCAAAGACAAAGAGGTGCCGCGAATGGCATTTCTATGACAGCAATGTCTCTGTTCAAGGCAATTGGTCCAGCTGCTGGTGGTGCACTGTAAGTTTAGCTTATTCCAACTGGGGGCTGAAGTGATTTTGTTATATATAAACACTACAGATTTAGCGTTTCATATAGTTTCAAGATTACTACAGATGAATTTTGAATAAATCAGAAAACACAAGCTTACAGCATTGCTTTCTTACATTGATTTATGCTTTGAAAATCATATCAGATTTAAATTACATGATCTTGTAGTAATACATTTTAGAAAAATCTTATCTTATGTTAATCATGATTTCGGCTCAACAGGTTTTCTTGGGCGCAAACACGTCTGGATGCTGCCATCCTACCTGGTACCATACTCAACTAACTTTTCATCCTGGATTTTTGTTAGATAGTTTTGCTTACTTAGGCATTTGTTACAGTTATAAATTTTTACCATTATTACTTGGTCGCTCAAGAAGAGTAATAAATTAGGAGAAATCAAACACTTAAAAGATGTTTTGACTTTTCTTTGTATATCCTAAGCTATATTGTTACATTACAATTTAGTTAGTTCATATTTATATTTTAGATCGAAATGAAACGAAAAAGAAAGAAATTAAAAGAAAAGGGAAGGTTTTTAGATGATGATAGGCTAAAAGTACATGTTTCCTGAAACTGAAATAATGCACAAGACGAAGAGTGGTAGCATCAGATATTTACCATTTCTAGGTCATAAACTGACCGAAGAAGAAAATAATAAAGTTAATGGAAGAGGGAAAAGAAAGAGTTCAAATTTCATTATTATTTTTTTCCAAGAAAAATTCTTTATTTCTATATTTTTTTCTTCCAAAAATTGTATGTTTCATTCATTGATTATGCATGTGGATACGTTGGACTTCATTTAGTTCCTTTTCAATTTGCTTCAATATTTGTTTGGTATTTCATATTGTATCTTGTATCTCAAATTAAACCGAATTATGCTTGGCTTTTAGAAGAAGAGGCGCAACTCCTCCTAAAATGAACATGTGGCCTAATTGTGCATTATTTTTCATTGTTTGGGCAAGTGTCCATTTCCACTTGGCCACGTGTTCATTTGAGGAGGAATTCCTCGTCTTTCTTTCAAGAGCCTAGCTATTTCCTCTAAATAATTGACCCTTCATACAAAATTAGTAATTACATAACCAAATTTATTGACAGCTTGTAATGTAAAGCTTAGAAAGTTTACCACTTCCATATCGTTTTGCAGGTAGCCAGATGATTTTCTTCATCTTGAATGTGGTGGAGGCAATCGCTGTTCTGATGACATTCAAGCCGTTTCTCACTCTACGTCATGAATAGATAGAGATGAAAATGCAATATTATAGCATATTCCAAATACATCTGTAGCAACTCTATCCATTTGTTAGGGAGATATTTTCCTATTATTTCCCGCTATTCAAAGGAAAGAAAGAAATATGGGCATTTATGTTGTAGGGGATTGAATAATCTTTTTTGGAAAATATTTATAGCATATTACAAATTATAATTCAGGGACAGTATCTGGTTGCAATTCAGAGATTGAAGACTATGCGATGCATCGTTGTGTTGTGTTTTCAGCTTGACGATTGCGCTCAACTATGTTGGGAGAAATTATTGTATGGTACGCTAGGAATTGGAATTCTCATCAGGAATTAAATTCCACTTATGGAGGATTATTATATTTACTTCACATTAAGGAATTAAAAAGTAATTGGGGTCCACACAAAATTAGGAATTGAATTCCTCATTTTCGAGGGAGTAATGCTACACTTACCACATTATTATCCCATATTTCTATACCACATGATGTGGCATGTTCATATCATATGCCACATCAATTAAATGAATGAAGTGTATTTTAATAAATAAAATTAGAAAAACAAAAACTAGTATTTTATATGATGTGGTATACACATCAGCTGCCACATCATGTGGTATAAAATTGTGGTATAAAAAATGTGGTAAGACTAGTATTATTCTTTTTGAAGAATTCAATTCTTGGGTGGAAGGTGGTATTTTAATTTCTGGAGAACTAACCCGTTAGGAATTCATCTTTTTTACTCATTATATCCTCACACAATTTTAAAAATTCCAAATTTGTCATTTACTTTAACCAAACAATGAGGACATTTTAGTATTTAGGACCACTCGTACTCCAATTCCATATGATTTAATAAACAACTTCAATAAGAATCTGGAATCTAATTCCTCACTATCCATATGATTTAGTAAACAACTTCAATATGAATCCAGAATCTAATTATCCTCAATTCAATTCCTCATAATCTAATTACGGATTAATAAACATGTCATAAATGCGTTTAGGTTCGGACATTCTTTCAGACCAAGGATTGTGTGGATTTGGAATGTGGGCCTTATATTGTTAATCCAAATTCATGGATCAGGCATCAGGCTTTGCCTTTGTTGCTTTTCGGCCTTCCCCTCGGGCTGCTTCATTACAGTATTTTGTTGGGCCGGAAACCAAAAGTGATGACGTCCAGCATAAATTGCGGACCACCAAATACAAAAGGTGTCGACAAATTGCGGACCCCATTCAGAAAGTTCTGATAAATTGAGGACCACCACGATATACAAAATGTTCTGATAAATTTTGGACCTCCAAATACAAAAAGATTTGATGTTGTTCAGTGAGGAAAAAAGAAATAAGATGGGAAAAACACGGAAATGGGATAAGGAAGAAGAAGAAGAAGGATGAAAGGCTGCAAGGTTGTGGTAGTGAGATTTTCAGGTGATGGTGGTGAAGTAGAAGAGAAGCTAGAAAGATTTGTTATCCTGTCTTGTACCTAATGAACTTCAAAGGAATGCAACAATACTAAATTACAAATAAACGGAGGGACATAGAGGCTCAAGCTCAGTTCTAAGTGCGGTGTTAAATATCGGTGGTTCGGAAATATCAATGGATTAAAAATAAGGAAACAATGTGACCTAGAAAACGTGTACTAATTGATAAAAAGAGAATTAAACACATCATAATCTTTTATTTATAATGATTTACTATGTTCTCAAGAATGATTACGTCTATTTCCCCCACTAGACATTGTACATGTTATTATTTTATTTAATAATTGAAAAATAGTTAATTATGTAGACCAGATTAATTTTTAAAGGACAATAAGTACTAAAAGATTTTAAAAAATAGCAGTAAAATTGGAGATTAAATAAGAGCACAAATAAAGTTACCTTAAGATAATAAGTAATTAATCAATAAAAAATAAGCAACTAAAGATAATAATAAGTTAATAACAATTTTCTAGAGGATTAAAGAAGAACAGAAATAAAATTATATAGTCGAAATAATTAATTCATCTACAATGAATACTAAAAAATTAGACATAAACATTTCTTTGAGGGGGGTTGTGAATAATTCAAAAAACGTAATAGCATCTCATTTTGTAACAAAAAGATACATATATTGAACCAATGTGTTGAACTTTATCTATCAAGATCAAGCCACAGAGATGAAATTATAATGATGAAAGAAGTCATCCTTGATACTCCTTATATAAATCTTAATATACTTGTTTTTTTGGTAAAGAAAAGTTTATGGGGAGGGACAACAGGACTCAAACCTAGCCCTTACTAGCAAGGAGAACGTTAGTTACCAACTCAATCAATCCTCGGTAGCAATCTTCATATGCTTTTATGTGTAATGGAAAGTGATTTTTTTGTAGTATCAATTACATGTATACCGTCCAAAAATAAATTACATAGATACCTTTATTCACTGTTCATTATTGTTTTCACCTCTATCCTCTCTCCTTTTACTTTCCACCACCCATCCACAGTAACTCTTCAAAACACGCGCGAGTCATGACAATCTCTTCAGAATTAGATCTACACCAGCACGCAACAACAGGAGAAAACCCAAAACTAAAAGCCCCTTCTTCTTCTTCTCTCTCCTCTTCTATCTTCTGCTGTTTCATGCAATTGAACTCAGTCCAATTACCCACCAATTAATGCCCCAAATTCAAGACCCTAATCTCCATCGCATTGGCAACTGCAAAATCCTAACTCCACCAATCATCAGCAGCAATGGAGCAGCTGAAGACCATAGGGCGAGAGCTTGCGATGGGTTCTCAAGGCGGCTTCGGCCAATCCAAGGAGTTCCTGGACCTCGTCAAGTCCATCGGCGAAGCTCGATCCAAGGCCGAAGAAGAGCGCATCGTCCTCCTCGAGATCGAAACCCTAAAACGACGTCTCTCCGAGCCTGAAATCCCCAAGCGCAAGATGAAGGAGTACATCATCCGCCTTGTCTACGTCGAAATGCTCGGCCACGACGGCTCCTTCGCCTACATCCACGCCGTCAAGATGACCCACGACGACAATCTCTTGCTTAAACGCACCGGTTACCTCGCCGTTTCGCTCTTCCTCAGCGACGATCACGATTTGATCATCTTGATCGTCAACACCATCCAGAAGGATCTCAAGTCTGACAATTACCTTGTCGTTTGTGCCGCCCTCAATGCCGTTTGCAAGCTCATCAACGACGAGACTGTGCCTGCCGTTTTGCCCCAGGTCGTGGACCTCCTGGCCCATCCCAAGGAGGCTGTCAGGAAGAAGGCCATCATGGCGCTTCACCGCTTTTATCAGAAATCGCCATCTTCTGTTTCGCATCTGGTCTCCAATTTCAGGAAGCGCCTTTGTGATAACGATCCGGGAGTCATGGGTGCCACGCTCTGCCCGTTGTTTGACCTCATTACAATCGATGTGAATTCTTATAAGGATTTGGTGGTCAGCTTTGTCAGCATTCTCAAACAGGTCGCCGAGCGCAGGTTGCCCAAGACCTACGATTACCATCAGTTGCCGGCGCCCTTTATTCAGGTTTTACTTACTTTTAATGAATTTGAGCTTATTATTAATGTGGGAAGTTTTTGGCAAGATAGAGTAATTGAAATAATGAGCTTTGTTTGTTTGTTGTAACGTAATGTAGTAACTGAATTAGTTTGATAATGCAGATTAGATTGTTGAAGATCTTGGCATTGTTGGGGAGTGGTGATAAGCAATCGAGTGAGAAGATGTATATGGTAGTCGGCGATATTTTTAGGAAGTGCGATTCTACCAGTAATATAGGAAATGCTGTACTTTATGAGTGTATTTGTTGCGTTTCTGCCATATATCCAAATCCTAAGTTGTTAGAACAGGCTGCTCAAGTCATCTCAAGATTTTTGAAGGTTTGAAGTTTATATATTTTTCAGTGTAATTTTCTGCAAATTATAATCTGCATGTAGATTATTTGGAGAGTTAAACACCAATTCCTTGTTGTATATTTGGTCGACAGAGTGACAGTCATAATTTGAAATATATGGGCATCGATGCCCTTGGTCGACTTATAAAGATTAGTCCAGAGATAGCAGAGCAACACCAACTAGCCGTCATTGATTGCTTAGAGGTGAAAGAATTCTGTTGGGTTTGATGGATTGGTTTCAAATCATGCTTTAAACTTTTAATTTAGATGAAGTTTGATGCGCATGATGCAGGACCCAGATGATACTCTGAAGCGAAAAACATTTGAACTATTGTACAAGATGACCAAGTCCTCCAATGTGGAAGTGATTGTGGATCGTATGATTGATTACATGATTAGCATTAATGATAACCATTACAAAACATATATAGCTTCTAGATGTGTGGAGCTTGCGGAGCAATTTGCACCAAGTAATCAATGGTTTATCCAGGTAAGAGTAATTCATGTTGCCTTTTATATTCTAGTTATCATGGGAGTATTTTGTTATTGCTTATTAAACACCCGATGTCATCCATGCCTGATATTCCTTCTCTGCAGACCATGAATAAAGTCTTTGAACATGCGGGAGATTTGGTAAATGTCAAGGTGGCACATAACTTGATGAAGTTGATTGCTGAGGGATTTGGAGAGGATGATGATTCTGCAGATAGTCAGTTGAGATCATCTGCGGTATGTAACTTTAATTTTGCACCTTATGTTTATAACTGTTTTATTCAATGTCATTAAAAAGTTGCTATTTCAGTTATTATATGGTTAAAAATGTTATCGTATGCCCCCTAAATTTTTTTTGCGATTTCAAAGGTTCCTGTTGAACTTTTGATCAATGTCTCCCTTAAATTTTTGGACTCCTCAAATAGTCCCATCCATTAACTTAGACCGTCAACAATTGATGGTAAAATCATGGACATATCATGTTAGGAGGATGAGTTGCCACGTCAAAGAATTTGACACATAACTTACAGGTGTCACTTGTTCTAGTTAGTTGTAAAATTTGTAAGTTACTCTCAAGCCATTTCATGCATATAACATTTGAAACCTCAGAGGTGGATTTTTCCTAGGGTTTTGGTTTACCGCATTGCGAATAGAAGCATTACTTATTACTGCTATGTTTGTTGTTTGTGATGAAAACATTTGATTTTGCAAAATTGCTAAGGCTTTTCATTCTTTGACATTGAGTTCAACAGTCCCTGATAAATTCAGCATAGGAGATATAATGCTGCATTCACCTTTTTATAGTACTGCTATTTGTGTAACATTTGAGGATTATATTTTAGTAGTATGTTTACAACATTTTGTGCATTGCTTGCTTCTGCACTATGTCTTAAACCATTTCCTTGCTTTCCCTGTTTCTGCATGTTAAAGAACTAAACTTCTTTATGTGCAGGTGGAGTCATATTTGCGTATAATTGGTGAGCCAAAGCTTCCATCTGTATTTCTTCAGGTACATTCTGTCCTCTCAGTTCTTTTCTTTATGTAGAAATTTTTGGAAGAATATTCCTGTTGATATCTGAATTTTAGTTGTGATCTCAGGTCATTTGTTGGGTTTTGGGGGAATATGGAACTGCTGATGGAAAATATTCTGCTTCCTATATCACTGGGAAATTATGTGATGTGGCAGAGGCGTATTCAAATGATGAATCCGTCAAGGTATCCCTCAAACTCAGTTTTTTGTAACTAGAGGTTCATTATCTGCCCTTGTAATTTTTTAAGGTTTGATTTGAAGAAATTTTCCATGCTTCTTAAATTTGGTAATGAGGTCAGGGTATAATTGTATTAAATGAGATACAATTTAATTATATCTACTGTTAAAAATGCATATAAAGCTAGAATCCGAAAAAAAATAATGTGAGTGCAAATCATAATTTAAAAAAATATTTTCTTAAGAATTGGGATTAAAAGATAATTTGAAGTACAAATTTACTTTGATTAGAATAAGCAGGGTCTCTGTGTAGTTATAGAAACATGAGAGCTTTTGGAAAGAATAAAGAAGAGAACACAGGGCACACAATTTTTATTTTCCATTTGCTTAAGAAGCAAACAACCATAAATTTCGTATTTTATGAGTATTTCATAGGTTTAAAATTTTCTTCTCTCAATTTTATATTTGGTTATCTATTCATAAAAAGAGCACCATTTGTATTTGTGTGTATATTTGTATCTTACTTGTTGAAACTGAAGTGAGTCTGTTCTTCTCATACAGGCTTATGCGGTTACAGCAATCATGAAAATATATGCCTTTGAAATTTCAGCTCAGAGAAAAGTGGATATTCTACCTGAGGTGCATATAGTGAACTTTAATACTTTGACAACAATATCAATTTGCATGCATTAATCGTCTGCATAGATTTGAACACCTTTCGATGGCAATCTTGCTTTTGTAGCATAATGTGGAATTTCAATTTATTTATTTTAATCTTGTCTTTATTATTTTTGGTTACCATTTTTGATTTTATTTTAGATTAAATAGGTCATATAGGACGATCCCATCTCTCTTTTCCTAAGTGATGGTTACTAATACGAGGTACAAACTAGTTTTCTGTAGCACAGTACTTGGCTATCAAGGTGCCATCTTCTAGAACTTTACTGCTGTAGGGGTTGTTAAAGCCATGGAAGTTACTGTTTTACCCTCATTGGGCTAGGGTGATAAAAAATTGCTCCATGTTGTTCAGTATGGTCCTAATTTTTGCATTTGTATCTGAGGTTGAATCAGTTGTTTTCCTACGAGTGGTTTTTTTCTTTTAGTTTCCTGCTAAAAATAATGCATTATGATTAGTATTTATGCTCACAATTGTGAGAGTTCTACTGGTATTTATGCCATTTTATTTTGCTTTCCCTGAGAGAAGATAAGATTTGTCAACTTGCAGATCTTTGACTGAAAATTAAGTTGAAAGATTGAAAGTTCAAATCTCACCGTACAGTTTGCACACCAGATTGAACAGGCATCCCTTTATAGATTAGCATCAGTCATGACTGGAATGAATTTATTCTTCCCGAATGATGGAAATTGCATTGTATGTAAATATGCTTTTAGTAGTGGGTTGAATTTCTCTAAAGAGCATAGCTAAATCTGAACAAGATGTTTAATCAAAAGATGTAATGATTAACATGGATTTTGATGGATGAGTGGCAGAGCAGAATTCTCCTAGTAGTTTGGGAAAAAAGGATTTGAATTCTCCTATGTTCGTTTAAGCTGCTGTTCAATTCACTTAAGGTGTAATGAGCGTGTTTGCTATTTTTGCTTTTTCACCTGTTCAGAGCTTAGCTTTAGGGTTTAGGGTTAAGTTTTCCTGTTTGGTGGGCCTTCAAATCATCCATTTAGTGCTTAGGGTATCGGGTTTAGCTCTCAATCGGCTACCATTCACAATAGTTAAACCATAAACTCTAAAGCCCTAACAAGCGATTCTACATCCTAAAGTAACAAATTGTTTTGAAACAAAAATTAAAGATGTAAAATGAAAACAGAAAGGAGACTTGAAAACAAAACGGACTGAGCAGCTGCTCAAGCCGCTTTCACAGAATTCAACATCAGCTCTAGCAGAATGACGTGTGCACTCTAGATCATCCACTCTTGAATGGTTGACTACATGTATGTATGTATGCATGTAGTTTCCTAATCTTTTTATGATTGAAGGCTTAGTCAGCAAGAAGTTGAATCATAGTTGAAATGTTTTTTAAGTGGTTGGTGATGGGGCTCTTTTGAAATAGTTTCTATAAGAAAGAAACATAGTACAATTTTACTTTATACAATGGTTAATGCTAGTTAAGGGAGAAATGTGCTTGATAACATTCAGATATTATGTGCAGCATTTGTAATGTGCACGTAAAAATGTGTGCATGTGTGTGTCAATGATCAGTGGCCCTAGCTTTGAGGTCCAGAGCTCTTTAGTTGCATGATGAATGTTTAATGCTTTTTTTAAGTTGAAGTTTTCTGGACACCATTATAATGTTGACATTCATCTAATCAATGATTAGCTATAATGTTGTCATTTTCATTTTGTTTTGGCCTGTCATGGAAGTATATATTGATTGATAAAAATCTTTCTTTCCTTGCAGTGTCAATCTTTGGTGGAAGAATTGTCAGCTTCTCACTCAACAGATCTGCAGCAGCGTGAATATGAATTGCAAGCTGTCATTAGCTTAGATGCTCCTGCAGTTGAGAGTATTATGCCATCAGATGCAAGTTGTGAAGACATTGAGGTCATATTTAATTGCATTATCTACTCATACCCTTCTTTTTTTTGCTTCTCCTTTAAAGTATTAAGAACTATAGTAGTTCTGCATTTCTCTTTTCCTTGTTATTTGGTGGTTGTTGGCTTACTGTCTGAACTTCCTGTTTTCTAATGGTAAAGTCTAATGGTTGTTTAACCTTGTGATTGCATTAAGTTTGGTGACCCTCTTATTGTTATATGCCAAACGATATATTGTAACTTTAATTTTCTCTGGTTTTTATTTTATTTTTACAAAATGCATCGTTTAGAAAGCATTTGTTGAGATATGTCAAATAGAATCCTTGATGAATATAAATTAGGTATAAGGAAAGTGAATTAATGTATGTCTCATTAAAAAATGTAGTTGCCTTGTAAATTGTTCTAATAGGACGTACCACTTTTCCACATCGTGATAATGTACTTTCTCATATGGATACATTATCTTTGATGCAACATAATTCAGTTTTTCAAAACATGATTGTGTTTGTGTTTCACATATACGTTATTATGAATCATGACACAACATTAAATATTTTTAAAACTCTATAGATCCAGAAGAATATTTTCCAAAATAGAAATACTATGACAAATGAACATGTATCCTAACTGACTGTGAATGCGGAAGGAATAGCTTTGCTTGCTTCCTTGTCAAATATGCCCTATCCGTACTACTTATGGGATGAAGTTTGAGAAAAAGTAAGGGCCCATATCTGACAATTGCAAGGGCATTAGTGATATTTTTTAAATACTGAACAGTCAGCCCCTATAAATAGGCAAGCAAATCATTAAATGAGGGACTTTTTTAGGTCCAAGAAAAAGGCCATCGTAAATGTTGACTGAAAAATAATCTGACTAGATACCTTACTCTGTTTAAGTAGAAAGATGTCATGTATTGTTTGGTTAATGCTGTTCTTGACCATCCGATATTTTATTTGGTAAATTTTGAAAATGTGCTATGAATGTATATATGTATACAGTTATCAACTGCACAGGTTTTAATAGGGTCAGCAAATTATTGCTTTCCCTTCTTTTATCATTCTCGTGTATGTATGCATGCATAGATCAATGTGAAGATAATAATCTTCAGGTCCCAATTGTGATAATGTCTGTTATCATTATTAAATTGTACATGGGTTTCTGAAGCCTTATTATTGCTTGACACTTAGTATGTATGCTCGTGATGGAGGCACTAATTGTAGATTTCCTTAAAAAAAAAAAAAAAAAAAAAAAATAATGCTTTATTGTAGTTTTGGTGCATATAAACATGATGATATAGATCTTGTGGTTTAGATCGAGAAAAATTCAGAATCAGTTTATGAATGATTAAAATTGCTTATTTGACCAACATGCATCATATTATACTGGCGAAACTTAATTTATGTAGCTGCCTTTGGTTGGTAATACCTGGATGTTAATCAAGTGATTCTAATTGGTATTAAACGACATGCTTTAATTAGTTTCCTGACTTCTTCGTCCCTGGTCCTTGCATCTTATTTCTTCCCTTCAGATATAAGTTGCTATTTTCATGGATTTTGCAATTGTATTTCTCTAATATGCTTGAAAACCTTGATTTTGGATCATGCGGAAGCCATTTATTTATTTATTTCTTCAATAATCTTATTTTGTGTAATATTAATATTCATCTTCTCTTGCAGATTGATAAAAGCCTTTCATTCCTCAATGACTATGTCCAGCAAGCACTAGAGAAAGGTGCTCAGCCCTATATTCCTGAGAATGAGCGCTCTGGAATGTTAAATATCAGCAACTTCAGTAACCAAGATCAGCATGAAGCTTTAACCCATGGTCTTAGGTTTGAGGCATATGAGCTTCCAAAGCCAGCAGTGCCATCAAGAATTCCTCCAGCTGCAGTTGCATCCTCAACCGAGCTTGTTCCAGTTCCTGAACCGTCTTATGCTAGGGAGATCCGCCAGCCTGCATCATTGCCACCTGTGTCAGATGCAGGATCATCGGAACTTAAGTTACGACTAGACGGTGTTCAAAGAAAATGGGGCAGGCCAACATATTCCTCCCCAGCATTGTCGATCTCAAATTCCTCTAGTTCTAGTTCCCAGAAATCAGCGAATGGGGTCACACAAATAGATAGCGTGAGCACTTCAAATTCAAAAGCACGTGATACTTATGAGTCAAGGAGGCCCCAGGTTGAAATTTCTCCAGAAAAGCAGAAGCTTGCCAGTTCACTGTTTGGGGGATCATCAAAAACCGAGAGGAGGCCATCTTCTGCCAACCATAAGGTGTCTAAGGCGAATATCCATGCTTCGGAGAAGCCCCAGGTACCAAAGGCAGCAGCTGTACACACTGAAGTTAATCATGAACCTGCTCCAGACTTGCTCGATTTGGGTGACTCAACTAGTAGTACTGCTTCCACTGTAGATCCTTTCAAGCAGTTAGAAGGGCTTCTTGATCAAACTGAAGTTGCATTAACTGCAAATCATGGTGCAGCTGGTGCTGCTAAGACACCTGATATTATGGGATTATATGCAGATACATCTCTCAGCGGGCTTAGTAGCAGTGTTGGCGACCCTTTGCCGACCAATAGGGATGAGTTAAATCTTGCATCTGAGTTATCAAATGCTACAAGAAATGCTCAAAGTGGGGTAACACAATTGAATAAGGGTCCTAACCCTAAAGATTCCTTGGAAAAGGATGCACTTGTAAGGCAGATGGGTGTGACCCCAACAAGTCAGAATCCCAACTTGTTTAAAGATTTGCTTGGCTAAAACTGTTCAGAATGGCACACTTTCGATCATGATTGTTCGAGATTGTTTGCTTTGTGGTATGTGCATGGTCTTTCGGTGTGGCTGGCTACATGATAGGAAATACAACTCAATTCAAACAAGTTTCAAGGCCACCATGCAGAGCTGTAAAGGCACCATACACCAAGAATGGTGGCAAAAATGAGGTATAGGCTTTTGTATTTGTTGGACAGTGGCTTATGTAGGAATATAACCAAGTTGGTGATGCTTGAATATGTTGGTTTGAGCCATTTCAATGCGGAGCTTTTTCTTTGCGGCAATGTGGGCGGTTTTGCAGCGCTCCACGGACACATGGTTCTGCCGTGCATATTTGTCTACATTTACACTGCTGTGTGCCTCTCTCTTGTTATAATAATGCTGTATGAAGTGAATTTTTGTTTGTGTTGTAGGGACATTTATTCCTATATGTCATGAGTTTTACTTGGTGTCCGTTCACATTGTAAGTTGTAGTTATCTTTTTGACTATGATATGTCCCTTGTAATTTTTGGTGGATAAAATTAGACATTCGGCATCTACAGTAGCTATCCGGTTATGCAATGACAATAATAATGCGCTTTCGTGAACAAAGAAAGAAGTTATAATTCCTGGTGTCTTTTTCTTAGTATCTAAACCCAAATTCTTTTTGGGTAATGGAGCCATTGGAGATGTTAGCTCTACCCGGGCTGTTCAAACAGCAACTGGTATTCAAAGAACCAAAATCTATTCGCAAACTAGACAGGAGTTCGAAAACAACATAATATGCATGACACTATTGCTGCTCATCAAGCTTTTCATTCCGTGTCCTTGCAAGATTATCAAAAAATCTTGAACTATACCAGCAACGTGAGTTGCAGCAACTTGACATGATTTAGACATGCTAGGATTCTTGTACCTTGCCAATACCAGCAAGATTACTGGTGTAATGAGACACAATCTTTCAACAAAAATATTTTGGGCATATTTGGACGCATGTTTGAAATTAATGTCTGATTTTTAACAAACCTTAATTGGAAATTATGAAATAGATAAATCTGTTACATTTCATCCCCAAAAATACATCAATTCCAATGAATGAGATGGAAGAATCCGGCTTGCAACCAGTTTTGTTCATCTGCGGATAAATGCTGGATGCATCAATTGAGAAGAAAGGTATTGCCTTATGCAACTTAAAATGGAATCTCAGAAACTGCTGGCGCCTCAACACACCTCTTGATTACCATACCATTGCCTGGAAATTTGGTTCGTTTCAACAGCTGAACCTGGGGCTTACATAAACCACTTTGGAACTTCATTGCCTGAAAATTTAATATCGAATGTAGAGCGCTAAGAAAAAGGATTTAACCCAAAACAAAAAGAACAAAAATTCACACCCTGAAAACTACAACATATACCCCAGAGATGCACAGCAAAATATTGCTAAATTGGAATTGAACACAAAACGCAGATATATGACCAGAAAATGCAAAGATATCATTCAACATTTAATGGATTTACATACATTGGCTCCTCGTTAAGATCAGTGTGCCTCCTCTTTGGGTGATTCGCCTCTCCCCTTTGAGCTTCATGATCACTAACTTCGACGACGTTAGCACGATGATCATCATCAAGTGCCATGAAATCTGATGACCGAGGCCTCTTGCCAAGACTAGTCTCTGATGCTGAAGGCAAGAAAAGCAATTCGATGTCTTGGTGTTGATCATCATGAATATCATCGTCCACTGCCATCGCATCAGGCAACAACCACTGCCTTTGCCCACGATCATCTGTGACATCAGCAACCTTGTGGCCTAATAGGTGGACCCCGCAGGGGATTTTAAAGCGTGTGGGTATTGTATCGAACTCAAATATAATTTGACACATATTACCCTGTTGCAATCGCGTCAGTTCTTCCCCCACACATAATTTGCTCAGATTCAATAATGGAATACACTGAAGAGCCACATGAGTGCCCATTGCCCACAAAGATGTCAATTGGACCTCTTTTCTATTGATATGAACACGTGTCTGTGCCTCTGCCCCAGAATCAAATGACCCTCTTTTATTAACAACACATAGAACCAATATTAACGTCTCCCAATCTAAATTTGGAGGAATTTCAAAACAAAATTCACATCGAGCAAACCATTTGTCTTTAACTAGTGTTGCATCCTTACAACAGCTGAACCACTTTGGTACTTCATCGCCTGGAAGAGTAATTGAAAATCGAGAACGCGGATGAGAAGATACCTACAATACAATTGGTTACAACAATCATCTTCTTAACCATATAACACAGAGGGAGAGACAAAGAGAGACACAGAGAGAGAAGAGACAGAAACCTGATCCAGAATACTATTTTCTGTGATGTCATGGCAACATAGTCTAACGCAATTGGTCAAACTCAGTTCCTTATTCACAACCTCCGATGATAGTGGCAGTTTTGGAATTTTATCCAATGATGTGCAGTTACGCATGAATACCCGACTTACTCGTCGTGGAAGTACTTCTTGTGGAATTTCTAGAAGACTCTTGCAATCACTCAAGTGAAGCTCGTGCAAGCTCACAAATTTGCTAATGCATTCCGGAAGCGTGACAAAATTGTATCCACCTAGATACAGAACTTGTAATGTGGACCCGCAATAAAGCAGCTGTAATTCAAGCCCAGTAAGATTGAAGCATCTTTGAAGACCCAACAATTCAAGCCCAGTAAGATATGCAATTGATAGAGGCAATTCTCTTATGCCACTTCCATCCATATCCAATATCTGTAGTGATTCCATCTCCACTTCTATTTCTGGGAAACTCTCAAGCCTTTCACAATCCCTTAGCCAAATTCTTTCTAAGGATTTCAATCTAAGTCTTGTTCCAAACCTCGTAAGATTAACGCATCCAGTGAGATGTAATTCAACAAGTTTATCAAGGAATCCAATAGAATCATCAACCTCAACCAAACTTGTACAGTTACTTAGATTCAAGAACTTTATGTTTGGGATTCCGGACAAGTCTGGGATTTTTTCTAAGAATTGACAATCACTCAAATTCATATATGTCAGGTTTGGCAAATGCTGTGAGACAAGAACACAAAAACAGGAAATAATTAATCACACGCTTCAAAAGACAAAACTTAGAAAACAAATTTCGTGTTTTTCCTTCTGAAATTAACAACTCTATTTGAAATTATATATAATAGATGAAAATAATTTCAAATACATACCTTAAATCCCTCCAATTGTCTGATATGACTGCCAGGCATTTTGAACTTAACAAGACGATTTCCTTGAAAATTGGGTGGCAAAGATTGTAACTGACAACTAGGCCAATCAATAATTCTTAATGCGTTGGGCAGATAGTTAATGTTCCCACGTAGAGATGCATTATGGCTTATGAAAATTTGAAGATTTACCATATTACGGAAGCATTCTGGATTCAAGGTTATCTCAGCTGGTTCTGGAAACTTCACCACGATGCCTTTAATATTCCTTGTTCCCTAAGATGGAAAAGCATTAATTAGGAAACGAAGTCATTGTACAAACCAAAATGCAAGCACATTTTGTTAAGAAAATTAAGGTAAAATAAGGTATTCTTTCTTGTCAAATTGAATATAATAACATATGTGATACTTACTGTACTTTCCGTTAGAACTTGTTTGACATCCTCGTAAAACCACAATCTACTACGTTGGCCAGGATCATTGGGGGATTCTTTGCGAACTATATCCTTGCCCAGGTTTGCTAGCAAGTCGTGCATTACAATCTTACTCCATTCAATAGTTATCAATGCCTTATCAAGGAATTCTTCGATGAATTTTTTGGGTACTATTTGTAGCACATAGTCCTTATATTCACACTTGAAGAAACATGCAATGTCGAGAAAATAATCTTTTGCGCGGTGATCCAAGGCATCATAACTTTTTTGAAGTATTCTTTCAATATCTGTATAAGGTTCTCCTTCGTAACCATCTAATATAACTTGCCAACGTCGTATATCTATACCATGAAGATGAGAACCTAAAATTGTTAGAGCTAGTGGAAGGCCATCAGCAAAAGCTATTGCACGTTGTGCGAGTTCCAAATAATCTTCTGGAGGTTCACTTCTTCGGAATGCATGCCAACTGAAAAGCTCAAGAGCTTGGTTGGAATCTAACTTCTTCACCTCGTGTATCAACTTAATATCACGATTCTCAAACAATCTCCTATTTTTTGTAGTAAAGATTACTCTACTACCCTCACCAAACCAATCATCTCCAGCCAATTTTTCTAATTGCTCCAATCGGTCCACATCGTCAAGAATTAATAGAATCTTTTTATGCCTCAGCCGTTCTTTTATAACACCGATTCCTTCATCAACACACTGAATTTTCAACTTTTTGCCTAGATACTTATGAAGAAGAGTCTTCTGTAGCTGGACTAAGCTTCCTTCTCTAACATTTTCCAAGAAACAACTTCCTTCAAACTCATGGGCAATTGCATTCCATATAGCTTTTGCAATTGTTGTCTTGCCTATTCCAGATGTCCCCCATATTCCAACTATGCGACGACCATTCCCACCAACATCTAAAGCTTTTTCACATCTAGTACATGAGACTGAATTCCAACTGGGTGCTCAGCCACATTCCAATATGTGCGTCTCAATACTTGGCGTAAGATTCCATCAACAATGTCGTTGATAAATGTAGCTTCAGACCTGCCAGTTTAACCAAATTAGACACATTTAATGAATCAGATTTAAACATCCTGAAGTACGTAATAGTTCTTCAGCTATCGAAAAGAAAAAAAAAATCTAATGTTATGTTGTTTAACCACAAACCTAATGTTATGTATCATTTATATTTATGCCTTTTGAAGAGATTAATATAAAAGTACTCAAGAAAATAAATAATCTGCCTACAGTTGTATATTTTTACAAAAGAATACTTTTGTTTAATGAGTAACAATTCAATTTAACCAAAGTAAAAAAGAAAAAGAAATTAAGTTAACTTGAAAAAGATAGATAACCGTGAACTACA